TATTTATATCTATCAATAAATGATTTTCCGGTGTTTTGATGATTTTTCCTTCAACATCATCGTAATTAAATATTTTTTTATTAAAACGTGAATTTCTGATCTCGCTTAATTGGGTTTACATTAAAATAAATTTGTTATAATTAATGTAACGTTAAAAATACATACATATAGTTTGAAATAAACAACAAAATTCGAGAGTCTGCTTTTGTCTTCAGTATTATCTCCCCTTTAATGATGAAATACCAATGTTTTATATTTTGTGATGAATTAACAGAGGAAGACTATAATAACAAATTCAGAATTACTATACACTTTATTACATATGTATATACTGCTACAATAAAATGTGATGTAAGTTCAGTTTTTTAAACTGTAAGAATAAAAGTAAATTATTAGCGAGAATGGAGTGGGTTCAACCTTGCCCGAGGAATATCGAGTAATGAGGGGAGAGAATGTCAGACTTCTATGTTTGTATATGATGTGTTTATCGTTAATTTATCGGAATGAATTGATTAGCGTGAAAAGAATGGGTTGCTTAACTGCGCCTCGAAGAATATCGAGTACTCTGGGGTGACTGTATGACGTCGGGAGAATAAAAGTAACTTATTAGCGAGAATGGAGTCAGTTCAACCCCACCCTTGATATATGGAGTACTCTGGGGGAGTGAGAGTGATTTACATTCTGTCATTTTACCTATTCGTTACTACATTCAAAATGAATTTGACAAACAATAACGGATTGTAAACAATAAAGGCAATTAATGTTTGCTTTTGTGAAGAAGGAAATTATTGGAATTAACAAAGAAATGAGTTTTTTCAAACTTTTTGCCATAACTTTGGCATCTTTTGACCAATTTAAAATCAGATTGCACCACTGTTTTCAGCGTAAAAAATCCTTTGAAATTGTGTCAGGTTGTATAGGATCGTTTTTTTTTTTTTTTTTTTTTTTTTTTTTTTTTTCTAAACACGACACCCTGTATATATATTCCCTAGTTTACAACAGCATGACGATAGGTAGTTGAAAAGTTGTTTGTGAAGTGTAAAAACTGTAAAAGAAATAAACCGTGTACGATAAAGTTTATGTTATTATTATTAACAGATTCACCCCGACAGCATCACACAAATTATTACGCTGATAAGGATCACAGCTTTTATTATTTTATTTTAATTGTCCGCTGCTTTATCGATTCCGATTTTCAGACGTTCGACCATATCGTCAGTGGAAGTCATGACAAAAAACAACAAGAATAGAAAGATCGATACTGATCAGAGATGAAGAAACTTCTTACAAACGTTTAACAATCTACAGATCTACCAGCAATACGCAATATATTTATCACAAGAGTTGTGGAATAAATTGTAAATTGATTTTTTCTCCTAGACTTCCGTATTTGGACCTTATGGAAGCTATGGACACACCATATCCTCAAAGGCTACTTTTCAAGTAGCACAAGTGCCGTACACATTATTAATACATTTTATTATATAATTTTTTTATTGTTTTATTAAAATTTTATTTAGTGTAACAAAAATTATATTTAATTAGTTTTTTTTACATTTACAAGTTTATTACATTAAATTTTTTGGATATTTCGGGAATTTACACTCATTATCAGCATCTTCAATATCTTTTTTTTATACTTTTTTTTAAGAGAAGAAGATATTGTAGATGCTTATGATGGTTGTAAATTCCCGAACAACCAAAAAATTTAATGTAAAAAAATAAAACAAAACAGGTTTAAAAAACAAATTATAAATATAATAATACAATAAGTCTTTAAAAATCCATGATAAATAATAAACATTATGATTAAAAAACTTTAAATTAAAAATTATATTTTTATTTAATTACAATTAACTTAATACAAATTATATATTTTTAAAATATTTTTATTTATCTAGTTATTTATTATTTATTTGTTGTTTAAATTAATTTTTTCATTAACCATATTTTTTATATGTACCATCTTTGAATTGACCTGCAGGAGTACCTCCGACATTTCAATTTTTTGTTACTAAATTGACAACTAAAATAGCGCTTAATTTTAAACTTTAATCTGCTTTCTACATGCTCTCTACTGCGGCTCCTACAAGACAACACATTCGACACTTCTATATATGTATCAAATATGATGTGCTTGTGGTTTGTTTTTAACATAATTTTTTTCCCAGAAACTATTATGGAATTTCTCTTACCTATTTGTATATAAAAATGATTAATGTAAATAGTAGGAAGCCATAGTGAAATGTTACTTTCCCTACATTCTAAAATTATTGTATATATTGCTGTGCACATGTACAAATAAAAATTTATTCTATTCTAAAAAAAATTGATAATCAAAAAAAGGCGTATTTATTAGGAAAAAACCGCTATTTACAAAGGTGATGTATACAACCCAGAAAATTATAGAGCTGTTTCATTTAATAATGTAATTAGTACAATCTATACTGGTCTTATTTTGGAAAGATTACCAAATTGGCCAAATAAAGAATTCCAGGAGGGTTTAGGTTTAATTATAGCAAAGTTGGTAATAGTTTTATTTTGCCAAACATTGTTAAAAGCTTAAAATGGCCAATGAGAATATAGAAGGTCTATGCCTTTTTTGTTGATTTCTCAGCTGCCTTTGTACTAATTTACAAATTGTTTAATTTAGGGCTGTCAAGCAAATTAGTAAGTGCTATAAAAGCTCCAATAGATGGAACAGTCTGTCCGGTGTGAAGAAGGGAGAGGTAATTACTTTAAGATAGAAAAGGGGGTCAAACAAGGTTGTTTATTAAGTCCACTGATGTTTTAACTCTACATAAATGACATAGAAGAATGCTTGGAAATTGGAAGTGTAAAAATTGGTTCAATCAGAATAAAAATGTTATTTGCTGATGACCTGCTGCTGATCTCCTCCACACCACAGGCGTTCTAAACAATGATTGGGAATCTAAGCGCTTTCTTAGGTTTAGTATAATATTTAGGTTAGTAAATTTAGAGAACCTTAAAATAAACCTGACTAAATCTAAAATAATGGTCTTTAAAAATGGCTATAATTACATAATTAGCTATCTGTTCATTAATTATTATCTCCAATATTTCTTCTCATCTGTCTTTGCATAAAAAATGAAGATTTAAAAATGGCAGGAAATGATTAGCAAAAAATGAAAAATTGTATTTTCAAGGTAGTAAAATTGAAGTGGTAGAACACTACAAATATCTGGGTATAACATTGAAGCGTTTTATATCCCTAACAAATGTGATGTGGAGCTCGGTGTTCGAAGTAAGCAGAATATTGGCAGACGTAAAATTCAATATTTTTAACGTTTTACATACAGTAATTTGTTACAGTGCACAATTATGAAATTGAAAAATTTCTTAAATTCTTCGTAAAAAAAACATTTTAGACTGCCATGTTACTCACCTTCAGCCTTTCTATTTGTCGAAATGAACTATCTCTCTATTTGTGTACCTTAAAATTGCATTATAGCTGTATACTAAAAGTAATGAACATGCCTGAGGGAAGATACCCTAAAATTCTGACCAAACGAATTATCTAAGAAAACTGAACACTGAAACTGAAAACTGTTTAAAGTATTATACCAGGTAAATTGGCATGAGATTAATGCTGATTAATGCTACTATCAGCTATGAAAATGTGTCCATTTGGAGAAATGCTTTACCTAACTCTGAACTCTCTAATGTCGTATCACAAAAATTGTTATCTGTAAAAAAATTAGAAGCTGTGATCGGTATATGATGTGTAAAAAGATAAACTTTTATTTAAAATACACACTAAAAGTGAGCCTAGACAGTAACAACTGATAATGAAAGTTAGAGGAGAAATGGTCAAGTTCTCCATACTTCCATATGGTGAGTGCCCAGAGTCGTATCCTGTGTGTAATAACTTTGTAAATAAAGACAAACAATTTTTAATGCACAACTGAATTAACTAACTGAATTTAGACTAAAGTGGATGAATGTAATGTTAGCTGGCGAGGTAGGAAAGGAACTGTAAAAGTAATGTAGCGAGGCGTATAAATATAGAGCTAATTTCATTGCATAATTTTTAGTTGTAAGTTTGTTGTTTGATATTTTGTTGTATAATATATAAGTGCGATGCAGTTAATATTTCCCTAATATGTTTTAAGTTATTAGTGAATTAATGTTAAATAACTTCATGTAAAAAATTAGAACAAAACATAATATGTATATTTTAATTTTAAATTATTGGTTCTTTTTATTGGTTAATATAACCAAAGAGCCTGTCTTTAATTTGAAGAAAAAATGTATTCTATATTATGAATTAAATAGAGAATTAATTGTGGACTGGATTTTGATTTATAAAGTCTCAAATCTGCACATGTATGTACATACATACGTACATACATGTGATGAGTAGAGCCTTCACTTCTTGCTGTCACGGCAATTCCAGCTTTTGTAATTTTCAATGATTTGCTGGTAGGCCTCAAGAATCACCCACTTTGGGTGTTGACAGTCCGGGGTCAGAACTTGATCTTATCCGTCAAGCCACCGAGTACGGGCTCCGGGTGCTGTCAACTGCTAGGTCAATTCAGCACCCAACGCATTCAGTTCCTAGGTCCAAACTTACTCACAATCTCATTCATTCTTGAATACATTCTTTCCTATTTACATACCATTCAGTCAGGATGGTCGAGTGCTCAATATTCTCCATCACACTTTACAAATATAACTAATTATATAACTAATCTAATTGAGGATAGATGGGGTAATCAATATTCCGCCATTGGCCCATTTACATTCCACATTCACGCTAATAAACACAATTTCGCAGAATACTTACACAACTTACATCTAGTATAAAAGTATATGTAGAAGAACTCACCGCTGTTGTGCAACACAATTTAAAAAATAAAGAACAAAATAAATCAATCATAAACAAGTTATTTTGTAATAGCGCGGCAATATTAAAATTTATCCCGACTGGAATGTGATTTGTGTTTGTGAAAAGTGAACCTTTAGTTTATTGTTATAAAGTGGTAAGCCACGTGCTGCTGGCAGTAAACAAATAATGGTTAAGTTATTCTAGTTTTATTGATTTAAAAACTTTTAATTTCATCGCCAAATATGTCACCACCACAACTCAAAGAATTGTGAGTAATTGGAAATCATCCTCTTTCATTATGATTGATATTAACTCTTATTCTTCTATAATATGAAGCAGTTATAGCTACTAAGTACTAAGGGACTAAAGGCTAGGAAGAAAGTCCAATTGGATCCTTTCAAAACCGTATTGTAAATTGTAGGTCGATCCTAAATAATTAAGTATTTATTAACTGTCTTAATCAATTTATTTGTTTGGTATGCCGTTTGTTTCTTGGAAATGCTTTAGACATCAACATGACAGTCATATTTGGATTTGTTTCAAAATCATATATTGTTCATTTTCACCTTTTGTATTTTATATTATTATAATATATTGAGTAGTAGTTTCATATTTTCTATTGAATTTGAAATTGTAGTTTGGTCTTAAAATTTTGTTTTTTAATTATAAATTGTCTAATTTATCCAAAATCTTTGAACGTCTCCTTCTTAAAAGACTGTTACCAATATTCGACTTCGAAAATTTAATTACTAACCATTTGGGTTTCAACCTCTTCATTCTACTGTTCAGTAGAGCTTCAGTAGTTGACACAATATCCTCGGCTCTTAAAAGGAAAAAAAATCAACTGTTTATCTGGACCTTAAGGAAGCATTCAACCAAGTGTAGCACCCTGGCCTCCTTTACAAGTTAAAATATATCCTCCCTTACACCATCGTCTTGGATCAATGGTTTAAAGTGAGAACCAGCACTGATTTTTTTCACCAATCGTGTCAACCAAAGCTGGCGTTCCACAAGAAGTATCCTAGGCCCAGTCCTCCACACCAACTACACTGCTGGCATACCTACACATTGAAACGCACGATTTATCAATAAAGACCTTAAAATCCCATTTGTGAAGGATCCGATCCGAGCACACATTCACACTTTACACTCTAAAATATCCCTCCACCCCAACGCACTAATCCAAACTCTTTCCTCAACATCCCACCCTTATAACTCTCTATGCTGTCGCCTCATGATTTCCTATCTTAACTCTCTCAATTAATTAAAAGAGAGTTCCACCACTGGCTGCTATCTTTTCCCACTACCTCCTGGTCTGACAGGTTTGAATGTAACTGTACTATCTATTCAGTGTATATTTATTTATTTTGTACAGATAACAACAAATGAAACAAATTTAAAAAAAATGTTTTAACTGTGTTATAAATTTTCAGTTATACACCGCAGACAACACACAAGGCTTTTTTTACAGGCGGAAATGTTCAAGTATGTATATATACAAATAAGTTTAATGACTTTCAATTAAAATTAATAATTTATTATTTAAAGTTAACTTCCCCCGGAGATAAATTGTTGTGCCAATGCACCACAACTGTCAAGATAGTAGATGTCCAAAGTGGAATTGTGTCTGGATTTATTGGCGAGGAAGAATCTCTTGATGAAGATTCGGTAGATGATCTTGTTATAACGTTTGGCTTAAGCAAAGATGACAAGCAAGTTGTAACAGCTCACAAAAGTGGACTTCTTAAGCTGTGGGATTTGAGCGGTAACTATTCTACTTTTCTTTTTTCTTTTTGTCATGAAATGATTGTCTTTAATAATGATTGTAAATTAAAACTCATGTATCTTTTTTTTCTGTTTGTGGTGTAAGAAAATAAATTATTAAAACAATGGAAAAGTATACATAAAGGTCATGTGGCGGTTATTGAGTTTAGCACAGATAGTGATGTCCTGGCGACTGGTGGTTCTGATTCCAGTCTCAAACTTTGGAACCTTAAGCACCATTCTTGTACTCACAACCTGAAAGGAGTTCAAGGGGTTTTTAGGTAAACAATGTTAATTCATATAAACCATTACTTTATTTAATCACCCTTTACATGACTTTATTTAGTGTTGCATTTCTCATTTCAGTATTGTGAAATTTTTTATGAAAAGTGATGTCCCCTACATATTTGGAGCAGGAGACGATTACTGTATAAAAGGATGGAATATAGTTACTAGTCAGATAAAAAAATCTCTTTCTGGCCACTACAGTAAAATTACTGGCTTAGAGATTAGCCATTGCAGTTCTTATATCGTTAGGTATAATACTAATTTTACAAATTTTATTTTATGTATAATTTCAAATAAATATTTGTTTGTACCTGCTTAGTGGCAGCAGAGATAAGGTTCTAATTCTGTGGGAATTCTCATCAGGAAAACAGTTAAAAGTAATACCACTTTATGAAAGTATAGAAGCACTTGTTTTACTACCGAAAAAGATAACAATTCCTGGGGCAGATGTGCAATTTAAAAATAGTGTGTTTGTTGCAGTAGCAGGGGAAAAAGGTATTTACTCATTTTATAATTATAATTCCTGGCATAGCCTATGGTTTTTTAATTGAAAAAATATGAAAAAAAAAATACTGTAAAGTGGTTTGATCTGTCTAGACACCCATTTTGTTCCAATTTAAGCTCTCCTGTACAACAAGAATTACTTTAGCTTAAAATTTTGACCAAGTTTAGACACTTCATCTCCTATTGCTTTTTAACCTATTTTTCAGGTTCAGTCAAAATATGGGATGTAAAAGAAGCAAGACAATTGTTCACCCAAAAAAACTCCCTGATATCTCCTGCAAAGGAACAAGGAGGTCTAGCAGTCACCCAATTGCTGTATAATAAAGCAACAAATACATTTGCAGTGGTATCAGCCGATCACAACATTATTTTCCATCTCTTCGATGATTTCAGTTGCAGACAGCAAGTGCGTTCTAATCTGTTTTTCATTAAATCATAATTAGCTAAAATAATTAATTTGTTAATTTTAGCTTATTGGATTCAGTGATGAAATATTGGATTTAGTAATTCTAGGAATAGAGGAAACACATTTAGCAGTGGCTACAAACAGCAATGATATAAAATTGTATAATTTATCAAACATGAATTGCCAATTGCTTGTTGGTCACACAGATTTGGTTGTTGCCCTTGCCTCAACGCCAGCCAATCCTGACCTATTTGCTTCATCGTCAAAAGTAAATTAAAATAATAAATAATTATTTCTTAATCATCTTAACTAATCTTAGTATAAATTTAAATAATGGTAGATTGAAATGTTGTGTTGGTGTCTCAGGGACCAAAGTCACGATAGAGCACCATGGTATTTAACCAGATCATGGGTTGAGCCCAGCTTGTGACACTAATTTTTCATCTCAACCTCACTTTGCATAAAATAATTGATTATTAATAAATAATAATGAATTTATCTTTAATTTTTTACTTGGATTCTTTGAAGGATAATTCAATGAGGCTCTGGTGTCTTAAAGATGGAAATGCATATTGCGTCGCTTCAGGCATGATTCATAGCAGTTCAGTTGGTGCTGTCGCATTCAGCCAATTGAAGCAAAAATTTGTCCTTTCTGGTTCCCAAGATACTACTCTAAAATTATGGAAGTTGCCAAAAGAATTAAGTCATGGTATGTTTAGTAAAAGTTCAGCATACTTCAAAAAATATTGCATATATAATTTTACAATACATATTTTTTAACATTAGACGAAACGGTGACACTTACTGTTAAGATGGCAAAAGTTGTTCATGAAAAAGAAATCAATGAAATCAGTGTGGCTCCAAATGATAAAATTATTGCTACTGCTTCTATGGATAAAACTGCTAAGGTAATATTTACTTTTTACAAGACATGAACACACACACAAAAAAAAGACAAGAATATGCACTCACATACTTTTGTTTTTCAAATAGTTGTGGAGTGCTGAAGATTTGACATTGCTTGGGACACTGAGAGGGCATAAAAGAGGAGTATGGTCTGTTAATTTTTCATCGATGGATCAAGTAGTTTTAACAACTTCAGCAGATGCCATGATAAAAATTTGGGCCATCAGTGATTTGTCTTGTTTGAAGGTAAACTATTATAATAAGAGGAATATTTTATATTATTGACACAGTGATTTATTTTAGACCCTTGAAGGTCATGATGCCTCAGTTATGAAAGGGCTTTTTGTATCAAGAGGTATGCAAGTATTGAGTATAGGTGGTGATGGACTTTTAAAATTATGGAATCTAAAAACAAGCGAGTGTATCAATTCATTTGATCACCATTATGGGAAAATTTGGGCTATTGCCAGTAAGTTCTCATTAGTTCTTTAATTGTTTTCCTCAAGAAAGGTGAAAAAAATAAAAACATAATTTTTGTTATAAGTTTCAAAAAGCGAAGACAAACTTATTACGGGAGGTTCTGACTCACAACTCATTATTTGGAAAGATGTGACTGAAGAGAAAAAACTTGAAGAGGTGAGAAAGCTTCAAGAAAAAGCACTCATGGAACAGCAGTTAGCAAATTTAATGCAAGCTGATGATCTTTTAAACGCGTTAAAGTTAGCTCTAACTTTGGACCGACCAGCTACAGTTCTCAAAATTATTCAGGGTATGTACTCAATTTTTACAAGTGTAGGTTTTAGTGTTTAATAAGTGTAGGTTTGGCAAGCAAATGATGACTTTTTACAATATATATTTTTGTTTTTATACCTGGCTTGTTTTTAACTATTCAGAGATATATTGTCCATTGTTTACAATTACATTTTGTTATCTTTCAGATAGCATGTCTAGTCCTTTCACATAAAAATTCCCATCTTTTGGGATTGGTAGTCCAGGAAAGTTTGAACAGGTGTTTGTATACTTTCAAAACGTTTTGGCCATTTAAACCATATTCTAATGACCAGAATAAATGTAGTCTCAAGGTGAAATGTCCGGAGAGTGATAAAATTTCCCACTTAAGATTAGTGGTTTTATGGTGAAAGACTAAACCTTTTATTTTTGGTAGAGCAAGCCATTTTTACAATGTTTGAAGGTCTAAATGGGTTAGCTCTTCACAGTACAGTTCACTATTAACTGCCCTTGTGGTAAAAGTTCAAAATGCAAGGGGTCGGACATGTCCCACCAAATGCACATCATGTGTTTTTTCCCTGTGTATATGTTGTTTTGGAACAACTGGGCTGTTGACCAGGTTGGCAATAAACTTTTTGGCGGATTATATTTTTGTATGTGGTCCATTTTTCATCACCTATTACCACTCGATGAAGCAGTAAGAGTGATGACAGAGGAGTTAAGAGCAATTGAAGAAACCAAAGTCTTTGGATGTGGTTTCCACTGGTTGTACAGGAAACATTTAACCTCTCCCAGTTCTCGGGTCATTTTCTTCTAACCTATGCATCAATGTCGTCATCAACCTTAGAAGGATGTTAATTGCTGCCATCATCTTCAAGAACAAAATTTCACCTTACGTTGTACCTTAAATTGGACTGTACGAACATTTACAGCATTAGTACCAAACACTGCACACAATTTTTTAAGTGCAACAGTTGTGTTGCTCCCTTTTTGGAATTCATAAAGTAAACAATGCTTTAAATATGTTTCATGCAGACATGATTACCAATTAAATTATTCGACACAACCTAAAAAAGTTGAAAACGTAAAATTTATGGATTAACCGAGTGTATTTGTAAAGGAAAATAATATAGGTAAAAATGTAAATATTGAGCTATGTAAGCCTATAATAGAAAAACATTACATACTTGCCAAACCAATACTTATAACTTTTAATCATTAATTAATTTTCTTAAACAAATTTGTATCTTAAAGATGTAATTAAAAGAGGTGAAACGGGATTGCCGGAAACAATTCTCCAGTTAGACAATTATGAAAAGAAACAATTGATGACCTGTGTTGCGCATTGGAATACAAATAGTAAATTTTGCTATCCAGCACAGGTAAATACTCTTTAACTCGGTTATTTTGTTTTGTAGTATGTATAATCAAATAATTTATTTAAGGTAATAGTATCCATAATGTTGGATGACATTGTCCATGGAAATCTAGAGATTGAAAGACGTATCCTTGAAACTATTATTGCCTATACTGAGAAGCATTTTAAACGGTTGTCTGAAGAATTTCAGGCACTTCACATACTTGATTACACTAAGTTAATAATGAAACCAACTTCAAAAAATCACATTGTGTAGCATTATTTTAACCTGTAATTATTAAATAAAATGTATATATTTTTGTATTTATTTATATTGTTATGTAAAAAACCTATTTTAAGGATATACGATAACTTATTTTAAAAAAACTTTAGACTTGTAAATGTATAGTTAATAAATACTTTTACAGGGACTGTGGTGGTTGTGGATGTAGATAGGAAAGTACTTTTTCTAATATTAATTTTTTTTAAAGAACAAAAAGAATTGGGAGGCCTGGCAATCTTTCTGATGTTACTTCTGGGACTTCATTTTTTCTCATATTTACTAGTCCACACATGGAGCCCCTCTCATTCAAACTAATAAATACAGTCATACTGTTGCGACCTGACCTTTCATACCACATGTATAGCTAAAAATTGCGGAGCCACTGAGGTATTAATATAACACCTGTGCCTCCCGCATTTCGCTCTAAAAACACCTAACTTAAAGCTAATCTAGTTTGTTGGATCTGTGTGTTTCTCAATATTCCGCCACAACCCACCTGCACATACTCAACATATATTAAAAAATACATTCATTTCAGGTAGGAAAACCACATGTGGAAAATCATCAAATGCAGCCAGATGCGTTTATTCACTTCAGGAATTCAAACGACATTTTGCCGTGTGCATTTGTTTTTGTTATCCCAAGAATAGGTTCAGGGCTTATATATGGTTTTGCAGATCCTCCTTGGCCCAGTGTGTCTGCTTTTTTTTAATCCAAAATTTGTTTGTGTCCTGATACCCAAGATATCATCAGGCTGTTGTGTTTCCCCAGGTTTTCGAGATTTTGGATGAATTTATTTTAAATAATTATTTTATTTGTACTATATATTTAGTCTAATAAACAGTCTGTCAGACCTAAAGAAACTGGAATTAAGCACTCATGTTTACCATATTTGACTTATCCAATTTCTGCTGTTCCAAGTCTGCAAGCATTTAGACATTCATACTAATCACGGGTAATCCTGTTTCTTTAGGGAATTGCTGACATATTGTCTAAAGTATTGTGAAAAATTAAATTTAGCAGTTTGCCTGGAAAAAACTATGACATTCCAAATAGCAGAGAGAATAAAGTAGATAGGTGGTTTTATTAATACATCTATATATATAAAACTGACGGATAGACAATGCACAAACCAAGGTACTGGATCTAGTAGGCTGAAATTTCGACAGTGCATCCTTATCCTGCATGACATGAGTAGCTGCTAAGAAAGGATTTTTTGTATAGAATGAAGTGAACTGAAGAAGAAAAGAATTTGAGAAACAAGACATTAGAATGCCATACTAGCCCCCCCCCCCCATTGCATTAAAACAGAATCCTGTGTAGATGAAGTCATGGGTAAAAGCTAGTATACATATATATATATATATACTTTTTTTTTTTTTTAATTTAATTATTTTATTTGTACTTCATACATATTAGTAGATATTACAAATGTGATTAATTTTTGTTTTACATAGTGACAACAGTAACACTAATGTCAGTTTGGAGATCATGAGATGCGGTCTGGTGTGATGTAGGTTTAGGAAAACATTTTCTTTATCGTGCCAATGTTTCGATCTGTATTTTATATCATCTTCAGGGCACAAAGTGTTTGTTTTCTGTGTAGATGTGTCTTTAATGTGTTGAGAGAGCTTCAATAATGACCCAGCTGCACAGAAAACAAACATTTTGAGCACTGAAGATGATCTCGATAAAGATCAAAACGTTGGCACGATAAAGAAAATGTTTTCCTAAACCTATGTCACACCAGACCACATCTCACAATCTCCAAATAATCGTTAACGGTCACTAAACACTATACATTAATGTCAGTGCAGTACCCGGAGGACATACGCCATGAGAAGAAACCAACCAATGCTCCATTTCTAAAAGTGGATGTTTGATTTTATTGGTTTTGTTGTGTAGACATCTAAGGGTTAAAAAAAAATTGTTTATTTTGTTGGGAAATTTCAATCTATTGCTAATTGAAAAAGTTCAATAATGTCTACAGACAAATGACAACATAATGTTAAATTTCTTAAAACAATGAATCACAATACTGTTCTGTACGATACATTTTTTATATTAAAATAAAGAACAAGTGATTGACATAAACGAACACGATCAGGCCAGTGATATACAAAAAAAGACAGGAATTCAAAATTCGGCGGGCGGTCGGCAGTGAAGGGGCACCTTCTTTAACGGTTATACTCTTAAAAAGTGTTATTTGGAGATTTCCGAAAAGTCAAAAATTACAATTTTAAACCTATAAAATTCAAAAGTGAAATCTTTTTCTGAAGTCTGGCCGAGCCTGGTAAAGCGATCGAAGTTCGGATACTCGGGGCAGGGGAATCAGCTGTTGGTCGGGCCGTGACAGCATTGCAGCCGTGAAGTAGTCGGAAGTCTTTTCCTAGGGTTCGGGCCCGAGTCGAGTTTATTTAACAAACCGTTCGAATTAAAATATTAAAATGGATAAGAGAAAACAGTCTTCCGCAAAGGAGGAAAACGGCGAGAACGCGTGCGTGATTTGTTTCAAAAAAGTGGACATTTACTCGTTGGGACAATGCGATCACCCGGTTTGCTTCGAGTGTTCCACCAGAATGAGAGTCCTTTGTCGACAAAACGAGTGTCCGATATGCAGGCAGGACCTTCCAAAGGTATAAAATTACTTTATGCCGACTTCTTCCTTTCCCAAAGACCATCTTCTATCCTGCCGTCTGTTTAGGCCTTAAGGCGCTCACTTAGACCTAGGCCTACCACGTGCTTGTTGTTTATCCACAAAATTTTCCATTCTCTCCTAATTCCATTTGTTCAAGTTTCCCCAATCCTTCCCGCCTGAGGGATCTTGTCAAAAATACGATTTCCCCCCCAAAAAACGAGTCGGTGATGTGAACGTCACTACTGGCCATATCATTGATAACAGCTGGATATCGACTTATTAAACAATCCTTTTTATTTTTTTTAACCCTATTTTATAAGCCTTTATTTGAATAGCATCACTTACATATTCAACAGTCATTACTAAAAGAATATAACATTATTAATAAACAGATGTAAGCAAGTTTGACAACTTGTTTGTACTGGTTTGCTGGACAATTTTTTTTAGGTGGTTAGATTTCTATTGGACCCTTGGACATACAAAACAACTACAGAATAAAGTAACAAACTGAACGACCCATTTCAGCAAGCAAATTTTTAAAAAGAAAGAAAACAACATAACTCAGTTCTTTCGACAAATGTGTAGCATTTAGTGACCGGTAATTAATAATTATTTGGAGATAGATCGCAGCAACTTACATCCTACAGCACTAGCTACCCGCCATTTTGAACACCAATTTCAATTTCAACAATTGAAAAATATTAAACAGAACAAAACAAACAAATGTAACTTTTTAGAAATGGTTTACATAACAGAGATTCAACAGAGATAAACACATCATCAATTACAGAACAGACACATGTAAACTCAGCCGCAGCTATGCTATATCATAAATCAAATTCAATATCAAGAACACACAAAACATATAAAACTATCATTACAGTCCACATATCAAACAATTTTTACATAGTCTAAATCAGTAACAATTTATCCTTCCTTTCCCTAATAATCCCATCTGTTATAATCCTGAAAAGATAACCAAGCCCGAACGAAAAATCATTACCCTTTTTTCTCATTGTCGGCCTCTTTTGTCTCAAAGAAGCCGACTCCTCATAGAAAAATGAGTTTTTAATCCTACTTCAAAATCAAACTTATATAAACATTTAAAAAAAAATGTATATCTCACTAACACTCCCAACATGTCACACAACTGTGACACATCTACATAGAAAACACACACTTTGATTGAGTATAAATACTTCGATTAAACTTAAAATTTCTATATTGCTTACATGATTGTATAAATTCACATCTTAAATGTATTTGTTTAATGCATAATGTTTGTAAATCCCAGGCCTGAAGATAATCTAAATAAAGATCGAAACGTTGGTACAATAAAGAAAATATTTTTCTAAAACCACATCACAGAAGACAGCATTTCACGATCTCCAAATAATCTTTTGACAAGGAATATATCCTCTTCATTTGGACTTTGAAACTTATTAATAATTCACAAGGTTTTTGATTTGATCACTGTTATAACTAGTTCCGATCTAGGGGCTCATTTGGAGGCATACAGTAGTTAAAAATGGCAATTATGAAAACTAAGTATGATAAAAGGAAGGCACTTTGCGCTGATCCAACCTAATATTAACTGCCAGATATAGTTAAAAAAAAAAAACTTTCCTGGCAATGGTTAGACTAAGATTTGGCCATACATCTCCCGGTGACGGCAATGACAACTTAATTTGCTATTTTCTTCAAGAACATACTTTGATCCAGATTATTTGCCCATGTTATCATTATAACTTGTCTATGGCAGGTGCAGATCATGTGACATTGGTGTGTGCCAAAATCATTAGTAGGGGACATTTGTCCTTATTAACAGCAGAATACAACAAGGGTAGGTAAAATAGAGGAAAATGCGTTTAGTTCCAGCAATGATTGAGTTTATTTATCAACGTCGTTTATGTAAACAACTTCAGTGATTTCTCCTGATGGTTCTTATTCAATTTTATTTTTGAATTTTTGTTTATTACATTAATAACAATCATACCTCAACAAGGCAATTTGTTGATAAAGTTTCACTTCAAAAATACTTCAACCTTGACAAAAATCTTACCTATTAGGGTATCTGGGACACGGACGACGAAATAATAAGGCCTTATATGACATAATAGTCAGGAACGATGTCAAAGTATCTTAAAGACTAGTTTCCTAAACTATATATAACAGAGAGTGAGATTGGTTGCCTTCAGTGAGGGGTGCGAGGATGGTTGTTGGCTGGGCCTGATGGCCAAGGGTGTATGAGGTAGCTCAGAGCAGGCCCGGAACCCTTAGGGATATGGACTTTTCATAGGTATTGTAAATTGTTTTTATTCACATCCGTAAATAGGGAATCCACAATTGCTAAAAGTAAAGTGTGGCTGGAGAGCCTTGGGCCCCCTGGCACGTTTGTGCGGCTCCCCGCGGACAGTCTGTCTTCACTTTTATTAGATATGTGGCATGGCCAATAATTAAGTAATTTTGAGAAAAAAATTGAAATATTATGGGTATCTAAGGTGTCACGATCTGAATGTGAATATTTTAACAATTTATCCTAAGTAAATAGATAATGGCTATATCAATTTTTCCTCTTGGCCAATGTTTTTCTTATTATGTTGTAGGTTTTTTCTTTTTTCCAAGCCAATTCACAAGGTTCAGCTTTTTTTCTGAAACTTTATGGCCATGTTTGTGCTACTCATTTTTGTATTATTTTTATATTAGTTATACTTTTTATCTAAGGTCTTGGGTGAGATGAAAAAGTTAGTCTCATGTGTGGGATTCAAACCCATGACCTTGGGCTCAACACGCCACTGTTCGAATCACTTGAGCTACCATGACTTCGATCCTCTCGGACACCAACTCCCCATCTTAACCCTCAAAGTTTCCCTCTTTTTTGCTAAATTTTCAAAAATCGTGTAATTAGAATTTGATTCCCAATGACTTGTGAAGTGGCTGTGGGGAGCTGTTAACAAAGAAATTATTTCTGTCATTATTACATTAATATGTTTAGCAGTCATAATTGAGCAGTGTAATTATTTCAATTAAACTTTTTATCTAAGGTTTTGGATGAGAAGAAAAAGTTAGTGTCATGAGCAGCATTTGAACCCATGACCTTCGGCTCAATTTGCTGCTTCTTTAACCACTTGAGCTATCATGACATTGATCCACTCGGACACAAACTCCCCATCTCAACCCCAAGAGCAAGGGCTGTAATTTTCCTTGGTGGAGTGCTGTGGTTTTCTAGTTCCTGGGTGGGGCGCGGTGTGAGTAAAAATACACAAAGGGTCGGCGATGACCTGTTTTTGGCCCTTAAACCCCCCAACTAGTGCAATTGATACATATTTTATTTTATTATTTAACGTTTCAAAACAGAATTTTTTGATTTCAGGTTGTGTTTACTTGTACAATTAAGCCATTTGAACAAATACAGCAAAATAATTGCCAGTTTGATGATAAGTACAAAATAACGTTTCAATCTAAAGAAATCAAAACTGCATTTGAAGATCTTCTCAAACATGAATGCCCCGAATGTGGAAAAATTTGGGCTAACTTCAATGAACTACGAGACCACGTTAGAAGAGTTCATCAACTTACATACTGCGACCTATGTGTAGATAATCTTAAGGTTTGTACTTAAAAAGTAATAATAATAAAAATTGTAACCATTTTAAGTCAAAGATTAACTGTGATTAGATTCTCACAAGTGAAAGAAGGTGTTACACTAGAAAGGAGTTGGCTGAACATAGAAGGCATGGTGATCCAAATGATAGATCTCACAGGGGCCATCCTCTTTGTAAGTTTTGTGAAACACGTTACATGGACAATGATGAACTATACCGTCATGTCAGAAGAGACCACCTTTACTGTCATTTCTGTGATGCAGATGGAATACATCAATATTACAAGTACTGCCATTGTAACAATTAAAATTTACAAGTGTGCTGTTATTACACGTTTTGTAATTATTTCAGAACTTACGATTCATTGAGGGAACACTTTAGAGCAGAACATTTCCTGTGTGAAGAGGGCGAATGCTATTTAGAGAAATTTACTTCAGTGTTTAGGACGGAAATTGATCTGAAAGGTTATTATTTGTTTTATTATTCATCATTTTTAATAAAATGTAGGATATGTAGATTTATAATTATTGTGTAATGCTATATAAACAAATTAACCTTTTTAGAATTGATTTTTGGATAATAAAACAAATTCCATGTCTACAGCCTCAGCTGCTTGTCGGTTTTGAATCGTTCTTACTCCTTTTAAGTTGCACCAATTCCATCAAAATTTTGACAGTACATTCCTTCAGTAATAATTTTTTTGACAGAAGTAAGTAAATATAAGAAGAAAACAAGGAATTTAATTGAAAATTATTTTACTCAAAAAAGTATTTATTATATATAAAAAAATATATATTCCAAGCATATGTAAACGATACAAAACTAAAACTGAGGGCAGACAAGAGGCAGAAATCAGAAATGTAATAAGGGTTGTGAAGCGAGAGTAAAAACGAGTGTAGATTCCCAATGTGGTTGAATGGTTTACCAGAAAAAAAATTGTAATCAAATCAATGTCACAGGCCTTTAGTATTGCTTTATCAACATTACTGTGAAGGCCCCTTTTTGATTTGACCTTTTAGACTTTGTATTATGATTTTTTGAGAGAAAAAATTGTTCAAAATCAGCCCTTTCTCTCAGGAGAGTCTTTACAAATCAGTGCCATAACGGATGTGTTAAAGGCAAAGTAAAAATTATTCAAGAAAGTTTTTCTAAGAATTTTCCCATGCAACATACAGCAAAAATGTTTTCTTATAATTGTTTTTTTTCCCCTCAGCTCATAAAGCTAATGAACATGGTAAGGCATTGGGAAAAGCTGGAATTAAACAAGCTAGAAAAATTGACATTGAATTTTCTCTTTCATCAAGACCAAGAGCTTATGTCAGGCGAACAAACTATAGGTAATGTGAAATTTTCTCTTGTAGCTTTGTCATTTTCAATCATTGATCTGGCCAGGTGAAACTGATTGAAAATGATTAAGCTATAGGTAATGTAATTGATTTTTTATTTATTTATTTATTTTTTAATTTAAAAACTTGAATTTTGTTTATATAGAGGGGAAGGAGGACACTCTTCTACACATCAAGAAGAAGAAGAAGTGGAAATTCAGCCAACACCGACTCCACAAAGACAACCCAATACAAATTGTCAGCAAGAATTTCCAACGTTAGGAGGTTCACCTGCAGCTCCGCCTCTATCTCACAAGGTAACAGCCACAGTACGGTCTCTGAGGCCTACAGGATATGAGGAATTTCCAGCACTTCCTTCCTCTGCCACATCTGAACCGACTGTCAGTTTGAGAGTTGATTCAACTGATCGCCCGACCCCTTCTTCCACAAACTTTTCTATTCAGGTGACTTGAAGCATGCAACAATAGCATCTTTTGTTACCAGACTGAAACAAAAAACAACTAATAATAGCTATTTATTTTCAAAACCTACTTTGATCTTTCTAATTTAGTTTGTAACCTCTTTGTTGCTTCAGGTCAACCATCCTAGGTTCACGACAACACTCACAGCATCAAAAGCAAACACCAATGAGCACACATATAATTATCATTTCCCCGCCCTGGATTTGGGAAGTGGCTCTCCCGGGCCTTCTTCAGCACCACAAACGGGTCAAACGAAATCACAAGAATCAACATGGACAACAACTAATAAAAAAGAAGGAAAGAAAAAAGATGTATCCAAATCTCATGTAGTGTCGTTACCTCACAATGCTTACAATGCCAAGCCCGCTAATAAAAACCCACCTAATCTTGATGATTTCCCTGCACTTGCACCTAAAAAGAAACAACCTGAAAAGACGTTAACAAAAAGTATTGCCTCAAATACAGCTCCATCTAGTGACAGTGATCACCCTCAGCCCTCAAAAAGCAAAAAGAAAAAATCAAAGTCCAAAACACAAGGGAGTACAAATGTAGCTGGAACTAATGTTAAAAAAAAACAGGCTGCTTGTGTTCTAGAGAAAAACACACCTGGAGAGCCTGAAACTCTTACAAAAACTAGCAATAAAGAAAATGAGTGTGAACCAAAAGAAAATATTGAAGAAATGGAAAAATCAGACCAGCAGAAACATGCAAAACCTAAATCCAATGCCGAGATGGCTAAAAAATCTGGGAAAGAGAAATTAGACGAAGCTTTTCCTGCTCTCGCTGGTACAGAAACTTCAAAAGCCCCTCCTGGGTTTGAAGTTAATTGGGCACCAAAGAGACCTCCTCCAGGTTTAGCACCACCTTCTCAACAAGTAGTGGCACCGCCTCCAGGGTTTACCGCTATGAATGGTGCTTCTTTTCCACCGTTGGGGGGTGATAATCTTGGGCTTGGTGAATACATACCACCTCTAAACTTTGAAAAAAGAAATAACGCACTTGTTGACAAAGTTGCTAATGCCCTAGGCTCAGATTCATGGGTGCAATTTAAAGATATTTCAATGGCATACAGGAGTGGCATTGTATCGCCTGATGATTACTATAAGCACTGTCGCCTGTCCATGACAGAGAAAATATTTGCTCAGCTTTTTCCAGAATTGCTTGCACTTCTACCAGATATAAACAAACAAGAGGTATTTTATTTTTTAAATTATTAATTTCCTTTCTCAATGTTTGCTAACGTGAATGTTCAAGTAACATTATGTTGACAACTAATCAATCCTTTTACATGTCTTATTTTCTTGTGTTCACATTCCTGTTTTCCTTGAAGCTGGTTGGTGTGATATAATTGTGGGTTAATTTTATATCTAAAAAATTTTAGATAGAAAAAGTCAATATTATGGAGGATATCCTGTGGTCTTCGGCACTGTACCCCAATTATTAATGGCAACCACTTGAGCCACTGTGACTTAATCCCCAAGACACAGACCAACACTCAACACGACCTATTTTTGTTCAATTCCCTTTTTTGCCCAAGTTATAGATCATGAAAAACATGTTGGGTACATTCCAAAGACAGTGGGTTTGAATACCATCTATGACCTTGGTTTTTTTAATCTCAAATTTCATCTATATAAAATTAAATATATTAAAGGAAAAACAGGCATTCCTAATTTGTTGTTTATTTCAAACTATATGTATTTTTATTGTTATATTAATTAAAACAAACTTAATTTAATATTTATTCAGATATCGATTAACGGTCACTAATCTCTACACATTAATTTAATATAAATTAAATGAAATCAGAAATTCATGTTTTCATAATTTTTTAAAAATTATGATGGTTTGAAAGAAAATTCGCCCAATCATTGTAAAATCATTTAGTGATATAATAAATTGTTAGTTCAATTTTAATCTGTCACTAAATTATTTTCTGGTGTTTTGGTCTATTTTCTTACAAGCCATCATAATTTAAAAATAAATTATGAAAACATGAATTTCTGATCTCATTTCATTTGGTTTATACTTAATTAAGATTGTTGTAATTAATATAACGATAAAAATACTACATATAGTTTGAAATAAACAACAAAATACGAATGTCCAATTTTTGGTTGTCAATGTCAAAAAAAAAAAAAAAAAAAAAAAACTTAATTGGTAGTGCATTTTTCGATACACCATTAGAGAAAACCATCTGCTTAAATGGCCTCTGGTGTGTTTTCTTATTTTCTAATTAAGTGAATTTCTAGGTAAATGAAAATGGATGTTTTTCCTTAAATTAAAAAAATATAAAGTTTGGAAAGGTAAAGCAGAAAAAAAGCTTAAGTCATTACGAATTAAATGTGTGGTGTTTAGTGACTGTTAATGATTATTTGGAGATCATGAGATGCGGTCTGGAGTGATGTAGGTTTTAGAAAACATTTTCTTTATCGTGCCGTTTCGATCTTTATTGAGATCATCTTCAGGGCCTAGGATTTATAAATGTTGTTTAAATTATACAAATACATGTAGGATGTGAAAAAAGTGAATTTATACAATGCTAGAAATGTTAGACTCAATCAAAGTACTTGTACTCACAAATGAACTTTAAGTCAAATGTTCGAGGCTTCCCCTTCCGGTTTAACACTGTAGCCCAATCGAGGAATTCCAGGTGGACATTTCTCTGTTGTACTGGCATAATTATCACATGTTTGTATTATGCCGTAATAGTAAAACAAGTTTGTTAGTAAACATTGAATGAAAATGATAAACAATATCGTTGATACCTAAAATAATGCCCCAAGAATAATATTGTTGTCGCTGGAAATAATCAAAATGTTTATTTGTGTCACAATGTGTTTCTAGTTCATTACATCATCAAATTACTTGATAAACCTGTTTGGAAACAAAACTATTGAAACCTTAAGGAACTTCCTTCAATTGGCCTCGTCATTTGCTAGACCGCACTCCTCTCGTCATCTTACCATGCAGTGTATCTAAATATTTTACATCAATCCCACCAGCTTTCAAAACATAAACCAATCGCAGAATGCTGTTTCAAACATGTGGTATGAGAAATGTCATAAAGGAATTTTATAAGAAAGTAGGAATTCTGAGTTGTGGTTTAAGTGAACTTATTTGAATACCCCACATTTGATTTAATTCATCATTATAACATTAAGTACAGTTTAATTTTCTTTTTCCAAAAATTACATTTTTGTTTAGCTTTATTTATTTGTTTAAATACAGAATGGTTTTTTTGTTTGACAAAATTTATATGTTAAAACCTTCATTGCGAACTTTATATTAATTCCTTCAGTGTTTACCAAGAAATTAATTATAATTGCATCAGAGTACATTTAAGCAAGTGCTGTATTGTTTTTCCTATTGTGATGAGTTACTTTGTCTTTGTTTTTGATTTACTTTTTAAAAAAAATGATTTTACTTACATAACTGAGAGTTGATTTGAAATTTTACTTCTTTTAAATTCCATAGTGTACCATTATTAATTTCTTTTTTGTTTTTATCTTTGAAGAATGATAATAAAGAATAAAATAGAAGTTAGTAATATAATAGTTGACCAGATTTACAATTTCTTGTAATTTTATTTACTTTAATCTACTTTTGATCAGTTGTCAATTCTACTCTTTTGTCCAACAAAGAATTACTTCATCTTTTGCCCACGCTTACACTGAGAAAAAATTGACAATCAATTTGACCACAAAAAAGTAGAGTGGTGAGAACAGAGACTTGAAAATATTTTATTGACGCAACTTGTATTATTACTTATTTAAAAAACAAAACTCAATTTTTTTCAGCAATTGTGGACTTTATACTCCATGGATAATGAAGCAGATAAGTCTAAGTTGAAAAAGTGTGCAGTTTGTAGACAAGTTGTCAGGAGTGGCGATTTCAGTGAACATTATTCCAGGCACTCGCTTGATAACCACTTTCCACCATTTATGCTGCAGAAACAAACAAAGCAAAACAGGCCGAATGCTTGGGCTAAATAGCATTATAAACATTGGATGCTAAACTGTTGATATTGTGTATAAATAATTAAATAGACACTTAGATAAGTAAAACTTTTTTTTACATTTTAAATCAATCATTTTTTATCAAAGAAACCTGACATTGTTTGCATTTTAGTTTATTTTCAAAAGAACAGCTTTTGTAAAATATAACTATCAATTGTTGGTTTTGGTTTGAACACAATATAATGTTTCTTTACTCATTCTCCCAGTAAAGCCCATTTGGAAAGATTTTTTTTTTTTTAAGTTTTCACAAAGTCAAATGTAAACTAAAACTTACATTTTGAAAAATAAAAATAAAAATTAACTTTTTTAAATTCATATCAAAAGCTCAATATTGTTAAATTGTAAATATTCTAAGCATGTAACTATGTATGTATGTATGTAATTAAAACTTGTATATTTTTGCGATATTGCCGAAAAAGTTAAACCTCTCTATTTTAATACTGTTAAAAAAAGTTTTAAAAACTTGCTCTGTTTATTAATATCAGTCATTATATTTGTTAAAATTGAAAGAGAAAAAAAATACATAGGATTTGAACTGTTTGACTGTCTCAGTTGTTATTCTTTTATTCACAGCAGGTGTAATGGAATGAATGATAAAAGTGTGCATCATTGTGCACACAGTCGCCAGGTATGTGATACACTATTATTAGCAGAGAAACTCAAAATTGGTTAACCACAAAATAAATTTCATTTAAAAGCTCGTCTACTTTTGTAAATACAAAATTATACCAGCATACAATTCTTAGTTTATGAGGTGCAATGGGATAATTATATCTTGGCCTTTTGTATAAGATTTATTAAAGAAGATTGATTTATAATTTTTATGTGAAATGTGGTTGAGATGATAAATTACTGTCATGAGTGGGCCTCAAACGTGCCCTTTGGGTCGATACACCAGTGCTTTAAACACTTGAGCTATTGTGACTTCGTTTTCTCAGGACACCAACTCATCATCTCGACCTATGACTTTCTCATATTTCCCTCTTTTTAGCAAATATATTGAAAAAGTTGTAGTTTGAGATGTTGAGTTGGTGTCCCGGGAGGCTGAAGTCACAATAGCTCAAGTGGTTGGTTAGAGCAATGGCGTATCGAGCCAAAGGTAGTGGGTTCAAGCACATCTCGTGAAAATAATTGTTCATCTCAGCCACTCTTTTTAAGTAGTCGCTGGTTGACTATGACTAAAAACATAGATGAATATATTATATTAACATAAAGAGAATACCTTTTTATAGATTTATGAGTAATTAGAAATTCATAAAAAAAAAATTTTCAGTGAAATGCATGGTACCTAATAATACCAGGGCCATCATTTTGTCCCTATGGAAGGCTTCCTGTAACTGGAATTTTTATACTGATTAATAGTTGACTCACAAACTGGTTAACTGTTTTTAACTAGTTGTGAGTAGAACCGTCCTTTTCAAATATTACTCACTCCGGCAAAACCATTTTTATTTTACTAACAAATTATGACTTATTAAGAGGTTGAATGAGAAATTTTAAATTTTTGATACCAGATTCGCATTGGATTCATTTTCGCTTTTGTAAGAAAACCCAGATTGGAAAAAAGATAGTTTTGTAAATCACTAGTCCAACTTTTTCTCTTTGTACCTTTAATCTTTCTTTCAATACAAATGTCAACCTAAAATGAAGTTTAAATTTACACTTCTGACAAGAGATTAGGCGTTTTAAAAACTTTTTTTTCAACAAAGTTTAAAGTACAAGACAAAGAAAAATGTTTTAAGGTAGGTACTGAATAATATTTCACATAAAACTAAACTTGAAAATATTACAAATCAAAATATAAATTCCGAACAGTATCAATTAAATTAAAATGCAATAATTTACAAATTTACACATATTATAGAAAAGTGATAGGAAACTGTTGAATAAAATATTCAGGCTTCAAAACTTCATCTTTCCATTGGAGTAGATTGTTGTTGGATTGTTGTGAGAGGAGTGTTAGCGAGCGTACCGGCAGGAGCTGCCCCTCCAATATTTACGGACTGATCTCTTTGCTGTTGATCCGTCTCTTCAATCTGATGGTTTGCGATAAACCGTAGCCGTACCTGCAGAGCTGGCCTGAGTCTCCTAATGACAGTTTCTGCCTCCATTTTCATTGTGTCGCCAACAAACATGTACTTGATGTGATATCTGATATTTGCCGTTAAAGAAAATCCCGATTCTTTTTGCTCAAATGAAACATGTTTAGTTAAAATGAGGTTTATACTCAATTAATTATAGGCAATTTTTAACAAATTAAAAATTTGTGTCACAGGTAGAATTTGAACCTACGAGCTTTGGCTCAATACACCACTGCCCCAACCACTTGAGCTACTGTGACTGATCGCCCATGCCTCAAACTTCTCTTTTATTCTAATTGTAAGCAAACCATGGCTTCATATAGAAGTACATTTATTACTGATTGAACCACAGGTTTGATTCTAGGTTAATACCAACTTTTATTATTTTTGTCATGTTATTCTTAATTTTACATATACTCAGTTAATTATACACGATTTTTTCCAAAATGAATAAAAGTTCATAAGCTACATATACATATACGTACATATTTTTATAACACGATAAATTCAAGGATCAGATAATCTTAACACGTTCATTTCGGCCATCGTTCTGGAACAACTCAGTAAACCCTTCCCCATATATGGACATCGTTCCAGAACAACACACCTTTTCTAGAAAACCCCTGCTTTTTAAGGGCATTGGGTTTTTTTGGAATCAAATCGGTGTCACAGGCCTTTAGAATCATTTCTGTTCTGAAATGTACAGTTTCTGAACAAACTGTTTTTCAATTTGACCTTTTGAAGTTTTCTGAAAAATTTTGTTTCTTAAAATCAAAATGCTTTCCATATTTTGGGAATGTCTTGTGCCAAATCATGTGCCATTACAAACTAGTCAAGTTTTGCATTTACCTGTCACTGACTACTTGGCTAGCCACATATTTTATTTGTCTGCCTTTGACTTGCATCCGAAAAACTTTTTATTTTCAAATTATCTTTAAAATGAATCTATTGTATAATAAAGGATACAGTAAATCTGTGATTGGATCCATATATTTTAAATCAGGAACAGCTTTGTCTACTTGTTCCAAACAAGCATAGAATTCTGATGTAATCTGCTGTACCATCGTCAGCCACTGATCTGTGTGAAACCTTTGTAAAAACGGTCCAATGAGATGACACAAGAAAAGTAATTGTTCTTCTGTTTTAACAAGTGGTGTTAATTTTTCCTTTACGAACCTAGGACAACAATGAAGTTAATATTACTAGGCCAGACAACTTTACTTCAATTCACTTGATACTTACGTCGGAATGGTTGCTAGATGTCCAACACCTGCATGATGCCATGTAGCATGTGCAAGTGCTAAAGTATAGGCGAATTTATTTTCCAAGAAAGAATTATGAGCAGTGGAAAAGTTAAACAGTTGAAATGGAGAATTTCTATAAGGCCAGGAAGTGAGGCTGGAACATGAAATGACTTCAATCAGCCTCTCTTGAAGTACCGTCCAATACGAATCTGGTAATGATGCCATCACGAGCCCAACTGAATTGATCCAAAGCTGTATCTGCCCATTTGGAATCACTGTGTACCTGAACGAGAAAAAAAAATTATTTTCATGAAACTAATTAATGTTTATGTTTTATTTAAATACCCTTTTGTAATAACATTCAAAAGACTATTAGCCACGACAGATGGTGGAACAGGAAGAGCCATTAATTCGACGCAGGTGACATATAATGCACGTGCAGATGGGTTAGGAAATTCATTGAATCTCCAATCTATAGGTGGGCATTGTGAAGTTCCAGACATAGCTAATTTAATTCAATAAGGTAAATATATTGGTTGGAATAATAAATTAATTATTAATTTAGTTTGGGTAATCAACAATAACATATTTTAACAATTAGGTATATTCTACTTTTAAAATTATTTTTATACCTAATTTCTCTTTTTTTTTAAATATTGCTTTTATATTATAGGTCAATGGCATTATCAGTCATACCCACACAATCTAAACATAGTTTGAAAGAAAAAAAGTTATTTCACAAAATGTATTTTCCCATAAAAAATTTAATTTATTTATTTGCACTAATTAATGGCAGGCTAGTAGAGTCCAGCCGGTGGGTTGATACCTCATAACATATATTCAAATGAATTCAGCGAGGAACACACTTACCTGACCTGACCTAACTCAATGCGACATGACCCGTTGTCGAATTTTACGTAAGACTATATTATCCCCATGTGCATTTGCCTGTCAAACCACCAGAATTATTATTATTTTTTATGAGGGTGTTTCAACTATGAGGTTATATTAACCCTCAGGGTGTTTTTGAAGAAAAGCTCATTTGTAAGTATGCCAGGTTTGAATGCAGGGTCGCTGGATTCAAACTGGGACCTTTACGTTACAGTGATAAGCGCCGTGTCTATGCTTAAACCATTGTGACCAGTTAAATATTTTTTATTAAAACCCATGAAATAAACCACAAAATTTGAGTGTAAAATACATGATGTATAATAATTTTTATTAGCTTTCCAGAACCATTTCTTTTTTGCTACTTGCAGACAATCCAATTGATGTTTCATCATCCAAAAATATTAAATACTGAATCGACCAACATTTTCTTCCTTTTCTAATATAGAAATCAATGTATTTTACACCTTTAGTGAGGTTCACTTCATGAACCCAAGTTTTTCTGTTAGCCGTTGAAAGCAAGCAGATCGCTGCTGCTGCCAATACTTCTGTATCTTCCTAATATTCTTCATCAGAGCTATCCATTTCACAAATTCTATGATATACACTGTATCATCTGTTGCATGGCGTGTGTTTGTGTCGAAGAGATGTGCACACCCCACCAACATGCAACAAGGCATCAGGTCACGTTGCGTTGTGTCGGTTGTGTTCCTTGTTTTAGACTTTTGTCTACTGATAAAATGACGATGCTACAACTGTAATGTTCATTGATATAACTATGTGCGCCACACCAGCTAAGTGTGTTCGTCATCAGCACTCAACATGTTCATAACATATAAAGGATACTATCAACAATTCGGCTCAGAAGTTTGGCGTAGTATTCAAGTTCTGGAACCCAATTTTCTAGCTGCTGCTGCATGTAATTTTGGTAGGGTTCTGACAAATTCCAACCTTTTGAACCATCAGAAGAGTCTGTCATATTACTGAGTACCGCTGACACCAGCTTCCTTTTGAGCTGGGGCTTATCTCTCACTTTCTTTTCATAATAGTGGAAAGTGTTGTATAAATAAGTCACTGGACGATCTGTAAGTAATTAACTAGCAGTAATACATAAGCTTTGTGTAAGTAAAGGTAAAAACTAACCATGGAATTTATATAGGCTCCCTAACAGGTCCAGAAGTGTTTCTAATGATTTGGCAACCTGAGGGGTCAACTCGAGACAACGGTGTATTACTATATCAAACACCTGAAAATTAATTATTACGAATTTGTTCAAATTACAATAATAATAATATTAAACATAAATAAGAAGATAGATTACAGGTAGAAAACGTAGGCAGACATTTCCAAAATAAACAGGTAAAGATTGGAAAGAGGATGAGCCAGTTGCTTCAAGGATACCTTCAGGTGCAAATTTTTCAGGGTAATTTCTATGAAATGCAAGATGTTTCTCATGCCTTAAAATAAATTATTGATTATTTTTTAATAATTCAAAATGTAATAGGTCCATATACTCAATTAATATGTAAAAAAGGCAGTATATTGCAGTTAACAAATAAATAAATGGTTTTTAACACTACCAATTGGACTGTTTCCAATGCTGAGGTGAATTTTCTTTTACAAACTCTTTTACCCTATTTCTGAGCTGGGCAGCTTTGAACAGCAAAAGCTGGATGATATAGAAACAGAGTTGAGCATCGTTTCCTTCATGAGTCCTTAAGGCCTGAAAATCAACATGTGAATCTACATTTTTTTGTTATAAATTGAAATAACTAATAAAGTAAAATTAAATCACCATGCAAAGGACAAGTCGATCGATAGTAACTATATTATATTTCCAGATCATATTATTAACAGAATCGACAAACTTGTTAACCAAATGCCCTTCTCCTGATATTGCAAATTGGAAAACTAAGTAATCACAGAATTTCCTCAAATGAGCGCTTAACGCTCTAGCTCCTATCCTTTCTAAAATCCTACAAATTTATGTTAAAATTAATATTAACATAAAAAAAGATAAAAAATAAATCTTTACTTATAAGCAATTGGGCTTATTCTATCAGTCTCCAAAATCATCTTCCATATAAGGCATAAGAACAAAGGAGGAGTACCAGGAACTGAAAAATGAGCTATTATGTCATTTTCATTGTTCATTGATGCCCAATTCCTATATTCCTCCTCGACAGCTTTCTGTAAATGTTAAAAAAAAATTTGAATTTGAAGAGATTTGACATGAAGTAAAAAGCAGTAACCTTCAATTGATGTTTATTTTCCATAGGTAAATGGTTCTGCTGAAAAAAATCACTTAGGACAGGGGGAAAAAATTGAAGTGTGTGCGGTGGCCAAGAATGAGGTGTATTCTGCATGATAGTATTAAGCAGTTCTTTACACCATGCACCCGACGCTGCATCTGATCCAGTACCAGTGACATGCATCGATCTTAACACAAAACAGATTGATTGAAAATAATTTTGAGCATGTTCTGTGATGATAATAACAATAAAGGTTTAGTGTTTAAATTGTTGTGTTTAAACTTGATATGCTGTGTGAGCAAAGAAAAAACACTTTAAATTTAGAAGGGAATTTTTATAAATTTATTTCCAAACAATTAATTTAATATAGATTAACATATATTTTTAACAAGTTTTTTAATGACCAAATTAATACCTACTAAGCATTACCTTGCCAGAGTCAATACTAGAGCTCTGTTAAGTTCCTCAGATTCTGCAGAAACTAAAGTTTTAGGCTCACTTAAAAAACGTGACAGCTGAGGTTGTACTTCACTCGAACCAAGGCCAGTAATCAGTCTTAAGGCAGTAGATTCCACACTAAAAAAATAACACATTCTTTGTTGATTTTTGAATTTAGGAAGAAGGAAAGGAAAAATTTCCAACCATAGATGTAACTGTGTCTGGTTCGTTTGTGGCACAGCTGCAAGGCTGTGTAAGTGTGATAAAAGCTGAACCCTGTAATGGGGTTGAATGTGGTGAATTCGGTAGTTAAACATTTCAAGGAGAGTGTAAAGAATTCCCCAAGCATGGAATTTAAAGACATTCGGTAAAAGTTGACCTGTAAAAATTTCACTGCTAACTGTGATTTGATCGAGAAATATTTAAACATTTTATAACTAAAAAATTGTTCTTACTAATAAATCCTTTAATGCCCAGAGATTCGATTTCAGTGTACACTAGCAATCTTGAATAAGTTTCAACAAGTGCGGGTGCCAGTGCCATGTTGGATTTAGACTGGGCTAATTTAAGCACATGGGAAACAATTCCATGAATGAGGCTCATCTTAGAATGAACAGTTAGTGAATCAAGAATCGTCATTGATAAAGGAGTTGTTGGGAGGTTGGCAGTTTGAGCTGACGATGATGTTCCTTGAGGTGGTCCTCCTCCTTTCTGATTACCAATTATGGTTTCCACCAATGCAGCCATGGGGCGGTTAAAATAGTCCGAGTTTGTTGAATAAGCATTACACAATATTGCTATCTTATAATCTGAGCCCATATTATTTGCAACAAGATGTTGTAAAAATCTACAATTAAATAAATTGCCTTGCCATAAATTTTATTTTTAGATATATATTTTACTTACTCATGTTGTAACTTAAGAGAATTTGGAACTGGCCGAGGTATATTTACATGATCAGATTGAGCTTTTTTCAAAAGATGTATCCAGATGCACACTATTGAAAGTTGATGAATACAAATAGGTTTTGTATAGTCTGGGACTGGTAATGGCTCTTTCTCAGGATATAAAAGATCAAAAAGTTTGAGAACAGGTAAAAAGCTAGATAACTAAAAATAATTTAAAAAAAAATTATTATGATATATTATTTATAAAAAAATACATTTATTTTTAATGTTACTCAAACTAAAATGATGCAAAATCCACAGAATAGTGCTTGAATAAAATTACTTTCACAAGTGTAAAAATGGTGATTGATGATCATGAGGCCAATAAAAACCAAGAAAAGACTGTTTCATTTTGAATGAGGACTAATAAACTGACACTGAGACTTACTGAATTCCTCTGTATGCTTCCAGATATAAACTGAAGTAACACCCACATTAAATGGTCTCTTCCCTTTCTCAGATTCCTCACAGATAACTGAAATGGTACATTTCCAATGAAAAAAATAAATAAATAAATGCTTTACTGAACTGACTTTCTCATGAAGTGCCATGACGATGTTTTGAAAACTTGCAAATTGGCATAAAACAAAATAAATAAGTTGACTGCAAAGGTGAAACCATCGGGCACGTGACTGAGTGAAATCATCATCACTACCTTCTTGATTTTGGCCAGATGAACTGCTTTCATTTTCAGTTTTTTCCATTGCTAACATTATCTGAACCACAAGTTGCTCTTCTAAGGCTACACACCTTTGCTTGTGCTGTAAAAAAAAATAAAATTTAAAATTTAAATATTAATAACAATAACTTCTAGCAAACCTGTTTTTGAAGTCCAAGCATGGAACAAACCATATCACGTGAATAAGGCTGTTCCAAAACATATCGTAATAGGTTGGTTTGTGGCTCCGTTAATGACTTGTCATAAGGCAAATTACCTTAAATAATGATAAGAAATTTTACATTAATTCAAATATTCAAAATTACATAAAATATATTAAAATGTCTAGTGATAAGACAGTGGCACTAGTTACTGAAAAGTAGTGTTTTTTTATTTACAGGAAACTTAATAATTTCTCTAAAATTCTTTATATGCTGAATTTTACTTAAATGTAGCAACAAATCAGTTACTTGTTTATAGAAAAGTCTAGTCTTTAATTTAAAAAATGGTCCAGAAAAAGACATAAAATAGGAAGGACAATTGCCCTGATGAAAATAATAAAAATAGGTAAAACTAATTTATTAAGACACATAAAGTTAGGTAACTGAAATGGATGATAATAACTGAAGATAGTAATCTTTTCATGGTAGTGACAACAAAGTAAGTTAAGTTATATTCATGAATTGAACACCCACTTTATAAATTAAATGATTAAAATTATGACAAAGTTATGTACATAAATAGAAAGGGAAATATGAGCCACTGCAGTTCTCCTTTATTATCCAATTATTCATTGTTTTAAGAAAATTTGCTGGAATTCCACATATCTATGTAGTATCGGAGGAACAGAAGTCCGATAACCCAGAGGTTCCTTCCTCATAACCAATTTTAATCCAACTTGGTTAATAGGTTGAGGTAATGTCTAATTATATAATTAAACATCTAGTATAATCAGGAAGTACAATTTGGGGAGGCACTTACTTATTAAGAACAAAGCCTCTCTTGAAGTTTTTTTATTTTTATTTTAAAAATAAGGGTGTTTCAACTACGAGGTTATATGAACCCTGGGGGGGGGGTTGAAAAAAAAGCCCATTTTTAAGTACGGGTTCAAAGGCAGGGCCATTGGATTCGAGGCGCCTTGAAGGGAAAGATTATGATTTATATAAGCTCAAATCTGCATATGCATGTACAGAGTTGAACCGGTCACTTCTCACAATCCACTGGCAATTCTATTTTGTAATTTACAGTAAATTATCAGCAGGTCTCGAGAATCACCCACTCCAGGTGTAGGCAGGCAGTTCATTCTCATATCGGGTGGCATTCTTATTGGTTCTTTATATGGTGTCATTGCACCCTTCAATTATGCGGAACACATCGAACAACCTTTAACTGCATGCTGGACATATACACAGGGGCTTTGGCCTAAATGTAATTGTCTGTATCCACCTTGCATGGCCTATCCTTAATCGTGTGAAAGCATTTAAGTTATGTAAGTAAAACTCTTAACATGGATTTCAAAACAACATGATGATTTAAAAATATTAACTAGTTTTGTACTCAAATAAAAATAATTAATAAAAAACAATTGAAATGCAAAGTACATTAAAAACTTACCTTTTAATGCTAATTTTAATGTATTCGGATCTAATTTCCAAGGATTTATTAGATGATCTGCATACCCTGAGTGTTCCACAACAGGGAGCATACTGGAATGACCTATTATTGAAAGCATCTGAGCAGTAGGCCTAAAGCTTTCCACATAATCAGAATGCAAAGCTGCCAATTTCTATTAAAAAAAAATTACAGAAATGACTTGTCTGAAAATTATGGTTTACACAACTGATGCATTACCCAATGTGGCCAGTTTTTCCCATCCGGACACAATTTATACAATTCATTAGCAATAAAATAAGCAGGTAAAAGTGAGACGTTTCTATTAAATATTATGTACATCACATTTTCTAGAGCTTTCATCTGGCGAATCACTGAGGAATTTATATGGGGCGGAATCGACCTCGCTTTCTCAAAACAACCCTATTTCAACATATTAAAAAAATAAATAAATAAATGCGTAGAAAATAATTTTTAAAAATAAAATCAATGAGAAAAACCATACTGTTTACCTTTAAAATGTCTCTCACACCTTTGTAATTTACTCCAGAAATTATATTTCTGATAAGGATAAAGCTATTTACCCAAAAATTTTCTAATTGATAGACAAGTTTATCACAAGACAGAATACACTCACAAACCAACCTAAAAAATATATATATATAATTAATAAATGCCTTAATTAACATTAAAGCATTTTAATTTTACTTTGCAGGCAATGTTCCATTAGTAACAAGGTTTTCTAAAAGAGTGAAAAGATGCTGAAGCCTTGAATGGTTGGTTATTGTGGATGCCATTGCTAAGAACTGCTTTACTCCAATTTCTTGCTCAGCAGGCGGCACAGTAAACACTGTCTGCAACTCTTTTAATAGTTCAGATTTGTCACATTCTTTTCGAACGAGGAAACAACTAAAAGCCTCTTCGATGGGTTCTACCCGCTAAAATGTATAAACTATATTTTAATACTTGCACAATCATAAATTTAATTCATTCTAGTGAAATATTAATCAAACCTAGTGTATGTTGAATAAATATTAATTAATGAAAGCGACATAGTCTAAACTAACAAAACTAGAAATTGAAACTTGTGCAGCATTATATGTTTGTCATTGAAACTAACATTTCACTGCTAAAGAATTCATAGGCTTCTTTTCTTTACTAGTTCCTATTCATCTATGGATGTTGGTGTTATTTGACTGAAGAACCCCAGTATTTTTTTCTCTTTATTAAAATAAATGCATTTCAGGCAAATTCCAATAATCCTGTCTTCATTGGAATAAAAGCCCAAACTTCGTTAGCTGAAGAGTTTTTATTATTTAAAACAATCCGGATTACGAGCATTAAATGCTCATCATCAGGCTGAAAGAGTCTCTCGACAAAGTCTCTAATCAATTCATGACAAGAGATATGTTTGTAATTCCTTCAACCTGATAAGCGTTTGATGCCATGTAAGAACCATCTTTTTCATAAAAGTCATTTTATATATATAATGTATGCTTTATCTCTTATCTTAAAATGATAACCTTTATACCATCAGCCTACCACTGTTGTCGAGTGATTGACCCCATGATCTAGAGGAATGCAGAAAGTGAAGCTTCATGAGATTCAGCTAAACATGAGATATTTGCAATGGTATATTTATTAAAATAGTTTCATCATTCTTGGCCCGGATACAAAATTTGTACTGTGTTTAATGTCTGCCTGTGTAACGCATTACATCATTTTTGCCTTGTTTCTGTCAAATGTTTGAAAATACACTGAACAAACAAACGCATCACCCATAAATTTTAATGTATTTAAAAATCCTGAGGAATTCTTTCCCACTCACCAAAAATAACCGATTTGAATTCTTTTAGGATATTAGGACCTGGTTTTCGCAGTCGTACTTGACGCTTAAGTCAGTCCCAAATGTGTTGGATTGGGTTCAAATCTGGACTTCAATCTGGCCAAACGAAGCACTCCAATTCCAACCTCATTCAGGTAGTCATCTACAATACGTGCTCTAAGGGCCCTAGCATTATCCTGCATTAGCAAGAATCTCTCACTGATGTGAGGGGGGGCAAATGGTACTACATCTTCTTCAATTATGTCTTGTGAAGTTAGAGATCTTCCTCACACAACAACCAATTCGGTGCGAACATCCAAGAGAGAACCACTCTAGAACATCAATGACCCACCATGGAATGCCACCTGAGGAACAGCAAGGAGCACACCTTGAATGTCTCCATATTAAATTAAGCCCATCTGAAGATTTCAGGCCAACTCTCCCGCATCTGTTAAGAGAACTCGTCCCCAATCTTCTAATGTGCAATTCACACATTCTCATGCGAATTAAGCCTGGACATTTTCTGAGCTGAGGTAAGAAGAGATCCACGAGCCAAGTGCCGAGCCCTGAGATTATATTCACTGAGCCGTCTAACTGTCCTGGAGGAAATTGAAAAATTTCAAACTTGTCTTATCAGATATCTTGTCTCATTTCCCAAAATGCTGCAATTTCAGAGCCTGATGATGGATGAATCTATCTTCACTCGTGTCTGTAGACCTATGCCGACTCTGTCCTGGCCTTCTAGTGTTCTAGTTCTAGCCTCTGAAGTGCCGAAGAATTCTTCCTATTGTAGAGTGGAATGTGGAGCCATTGAAAAAGGTTTAAGAATAAGTATATTTAGGCGTAGCAGAATGAAACGGCATAATGCTACTTTATGTGCGAATGGGATTAATCAGTGCAAAAGTAAATAAAGGAAGTAAAAAAAAGCATAATTTACTGATTATTTTGACTATGATAGCTCTTAATTACCTGCAAAAGCTCATTAGGCACTAAAAACAATTAAGAACTAAACAATTCGGTACACAGCCATATCTCTTAAAATCAGACACCCATTCTTAGAAATGGGGACTGACTATGATCCTGGAACCATTCTTTACATCCTATAAAGTCTCAACAGACTGAGAGGAAGAACTCAGGAAAGCGTAAAATACAATGATATGGTATACAGATGTTCCAAAACAAACGAAGGACCTGGATCGGGTGTTTTTTGTACAAGCCCAAAACATGAGCAATCAAACTCATTAGGAAAGTACAATTCGGTCTTTCAAGCAGAAATACAAGCCATCAACGCTTGTGCCCAAAAAAATCTTAAAAGAGGTTACACCAGCAAAAAAATCCTCATAAGATCTGATTGCCAAGCAGCTATTAATTAAGCATTAGTATATAAAAAATCACATCAAAATCAGTGAATGCATCCAAAATCTACAAAACCTGTGGAAACACAACAACCTGATTACATCTTGGGGCATAAAGTAATTTTGGGTAACGAAAAAGCAGACACACTACCAGAGGAGGATCTGCAAGACCTTACATAGGATCCAAACCTAACTTGGGATAACAAAAACAAATACAGAATCCTCCATCGCAGAATGGATCAAAATAAAACAAAATGAGAAGTGAATAAACTCTAGCGGCGATAGACACAGTAAACTTATGTTAAAACAACCCTCACCAAGACTGGCAAACTCACTGCTTTAGTTGGAGAAGGCTACACTCAGAGGAGCGATAGGACTATTAACCAATCAATGGCATCTGAGAAAACATCTACACATCATGGCCATATATAAAGATAACTCCATCTGCAGATTATGCTAGGAGGAAACAACCCCCAAATCAACTTCAAATGCGAAACAATGGCTCAATGGAGATTTAACCTAGCCTAGAAAAAAACCTAGGGAATGAAATTGAAGCAGCAACAGTCAATGACCTAATACTTCTGAGAAGAAGGATTGAGTCAATTGCACTGAATGAGGGAACTGGGAAGGTACAAGAAGCCAAAAAGCTGCAGTGCCTGAGGAGCACAAACCCCACTCCCTAGTTTCCTCAATACCAACACCATCTATTACCTGTATCTAATGTAGAGATAATGAATTTAACTTTAAACTAAATAAATTGAGTGCGTTAAATTTGTCGGTGTATTTTTGTTAATACACTGCAACAGCTCTAAAAATCGTCTCAGGCCGAAGTGACGTCTCGATAAATACAAACAACAATACACGCTTTTTTTTATAAATGCCCTGAAGGATGGATCCGACTTACCAAAATATCGTTGACAATGTTGGAGACCTGCATTTTCCGCAGTTTTTGTAGCCTGTTGAAACGAATCAAGACATCCGATTTGTTCACCTTTTTGGATCCGTTGTAATAAAAATATGTTTCAGACGCAAAAGCATAAAAATTCAATATTTCTTAACACCAAGTAAAAAGACAACAGAAGAGTACTAGCAAGTAGAAAGTGGAGTGGGACAGTTGTAGTACTATACTACTATTCTTTAGCTTGTAACAACCTAATAACCTCAGAATTCAGAAAGGAATAAGAAATGAAAAAAAAATGAATCTAAATTACAAAATGAATAAATATTAAAACATTTCAATTGATTGCTTTTAAAAACTCATTCCAAGTGGAAATATAATAAATGGAAAAAGATTTATAAAACAATTTATTAAAACTTTAATCGATGATAAGACTTTTTTATCGACTTTAAATCGATTGTTATTTGTAGTTCCAGTAAAACCTTCCATGTTGTTTGTGTTATTTCACGTTGTTTACATTTTTAGTATTTTTCGGTGCTGAATTGTTGTTCACTTCGACTTTTGTTTGACTTGACACTAAGAACATTGAAAAATGCCGAAAGTCGTATCGAGGAGCATTGCTTGCTCCGATACAAAAGACAAGGAGGAATACAGCGAGGAAAAACCTCTTCATATTTACTACTGCCACTGTGGACAAATGACACTCATATTAGGTAATTTTTAATTATTCACATCCCTGTTATTCATTTTCACATCCTCCAAAGATTCTCTGAATTGTGTAAAATGGCAAAAATCATTAAAATCAAGTGGAAACAATCTCATTTTCTATGTTAGAAAAACTGCCCCAGTTGAAGCAATTGTAATTTGTATTCAGAAACCAGCATTCGGATCCCTATAATTAGCGGCCCTGACGAAATCGATGTATACTGGACTATCACAGAACACCAATAAAGCAAGGCCCTACACTCAGGGGCTGCTGGCAAAGCTATGGAAGCTGATTAATAACCTGAAGTGTTATTATTGAGAGGGCACTCTCAACACAACACGCAAGAATAGCATAATTACACAGAAGACAAACACTTTGAGCTCTGAAGATGATCTCAATAAAGATCGAAACGTTGGCACGATAAAGAAAATGTTTTTCTGAAACCTACATCACACCAGACCGCATCTCACGATTTCGATTAACGGTCACTAATCACCACACACTTTTATTTGATCCTGATCATCTTGGTTTGCCTATCCTCGCTGGGTTTGCCTGCAGTCATGTTTTGGCATTTGCCATCTTCAGTGGACTGTCGAATAGATTAACCCAGCAAGGACAGGCAGACCAAGATGATTGGTAATAATCAAATTAGACATAGTGTTAAAGGTTTAAGGATTATTCTCACCTATTAATTAGTCCGAACACCAAACGCTTCCTTTACTTAGATCTACTGCAGCCCAATATGTCTATAAAAATCTTTTGGGATTTTTTAATATAGCACAATGAGGTGCTAAATCTATATATGTTTAAAACTATTTTTAATTATTTATGTTAATTATGTTATTAATGTCCAATAAGGTAACGTTTTATTAATTTATTTAATGTTGTGAGTTGGATCATCAGGAGGTCAAATAACGGATGAATTTAAAGAAACAAGGAAACAGCTTCCGGGTTGAGCCGAGCTTTCAGCGATTTGTATCAGGGCCTAAATAATAATTATAAATATAATATATATAAATCGCCAAAAGCTCGGCTCAACCTGGAAGCTGTTTCCTTGTTTCTTTAAATTCATCCGTCATTTGACCTCCTGAAGATCCAACTCACAACATCGTATACTGCAAGTTGATAACCTCAACTTCATTTATTTATTTAATTTTTTAATAAAATCCTTTGTAGTCAAATATATTTTTGCTCATGCAGCTAGTTGTCATTTCAAAGTTTAATTATATTTTTGTAACACTTTTTAGATTGTCCGGTAGAGAAACTTCCTCTCCGACGTCGAGACGGTGCAAGAGTCTTAGATGGGCACAAACATGCACATAAAATACTCTGTGACCCAGATGAAATTATATATCTCAAGAGGCCAGAAGGAATTGAAAAACAGCATAGAATGAAGTGCAAAAAGTTAGTTTAACTGAAAATTTCTGTTTAACATAATATTAGTTACTTTATAAACTAAATGTATTTGCTTGGCTGCCCCATGAATTATCTGGGTCGTTATTGGAGTAATCAGCTTTTCTTATCTAGTTATTTTTATTATAAAAGTACATTTAAAAACTTTCCAGATATTGTAGTCTTTAAAAATACTAAAAAATGTTAATATTTAAAATTAAATTAGATTAATTTTATATTTTCAAACATGGAAGGTTTGTTCAGGAAGCTGTAACTTTTCTTCTTCAATTTTAATTTGTTTAGAAAAATGTTTCAGTTCACCACTGACCATAATTAATTATTCATTTTAAATAAGGTCTTGATTGAGATGAAAAAGTCAGTGTCACAAGCGGGATTCGAACCCACGACTTTCAGCTGAATTCGAATTCTGCTCGTGACACTGACTTTTTCATCTCAATCAAGACCTTGTATAAAAAGAATAATTAATTGAAAGAAGTAATTTGGTCAATTAGACCATTAAAAATAAATGAACTAACCATTGGTAGCAAGAATGTAAATAGAATTCTATGTAGATTTACAAAATTTGAAAACAGCCTTTTTTTTTCTCTCTCACTCAAATAATACAATGTAGATAATGCACCGCGGTGGCCGAGTGGTCAGAGCGTTCGATTCATACTTCCATGCTAGCGGACCTGTGCTCGAATCCCGGCACAGCCCATTTTTTTAATTGAGAATAGTATGAAAGAAGTATTGTAAGAGGATTAACTCCTCATCCGTGACACCCAGCGTTGAACGTTAAGCCCTCCTGTATGGCAGAAATTACTTTATAATGTTGAAAATATGTTTTTTTGTCATAAGTAATTTTCCTTCCTTTCTTATCCTTAAATAATTCACTTTACTGTGCTTGGTCTTAAAAGTTAACTATAATTTTTACAGGTGTAAATTAAGTCTCTACTATAAGCATGACCTTACAAGCAGTGTATCATTTGTGCTGAAAGGTGCTGTCAAGAGTTCAGGAGAACAGCCCAAGATGGACATTTATAACCAGGTTACTGCAGAACGGCCTAAAAAAATAATGGTCACAAAACATACGAAAAATATGGGAAAATTTAGTTCAGTCACAGTGTCTACTATTGACGAAGAAGAAGACGAAATTGAAGCTGTAATTATATTTGAATTAAAACTATTTAACCGATTACTTTGACAATTTTCACTGATGTTTTATATCTTTTTTAGAGGGAAGTTGCTGATTCTTATGCTAATAATGCACGGATCATTGAGAAACAGTTAGAACGAAAAGGCATGAATAAGAGGAAATTAGTGGTTCAAAAGACTCAAGCTGAACTTGATGCTAAGAAGAGTAGAGTAAGAGGGACGTTAATAGATAAATAAATCTTTATATTTATTGAATTATGTAAATACAACAATTTTTAGTAATACGTGTGAAATGTACTTGACTAATCTATCACCCTCCTTTTATCTCCTCAAAAATTAAAAATATCCCTTCCTTAGCTAATCAAAATCATGACAGATAAGTTTAATTTGCCACATGTTTATAAATAAATATTATCTCTGATATTATTATTGACCAGCCTTCAAAATTGCAATTGTATATTACAAAATGATCAGAAGCGAGGTCAATTAGAAAGAAAACACTCAATTCCTTTGTTGTTCCTTGTTAGTTTTCAAGAAAGATTTCTTCAATATCGCCTTCATTAGGATTTTGATACTTATTTTAAATTTATCTTAATTAATTAATATATTAATTAATTATTAATAAATTAATTTTAAATAAATGTTAACATTTTTCTATAGTTTCAAGTACAATAAAATTATAAAATTAAATATTGAATGAAATGTTAAACTGTAAACAATCAGTTTTGCTTACAGTTCAACATTCCACTCGATAATAAAAATAGATATGCCTTAAGATGTGATCAATTCTTTTATTTTATTATTATTATTTATTATTTTACTACATTGTTCATATTCAGTTTTAGTAAAATTAAAAACCAATTATCATCACCATTTTGTTTCTTGTTTTAAATTAAAAATTTATAAATGAACACAATTGTTTTTAATTATTTTACATATCTATAATTTTTTTTTTTTAAACAGTGTTTAAACCAATGTTTATGTTCAGTTTGTGCACCCCTTTAAATACAATAATTTAGTTTTGTTAAGTTTCTTTGTGTTTATTAATCTATAATTTTAAATATATTTTCTTCGTTTAGAATTTTTTATTTCTCAAAACTGAATTATGTATTTAAAATGAAATAAAAGCAAGAGGATCCAAGTGATCATCCGCCACTCCTGCTTATCCACTTGCAGATCAACACCCACCATAATTTTTTTTTTCAAGTTATCTAGAGCAACACTCAATGGCTCTGAAGACTAAGTTTCAACATTTGTGCCCTATCAAATCCATTTTTACATATATTAGAAATAAATAAATTTATTTTTATAAACATAGTAAGATAATAATAAAATATACAAAACAATAATATATTATTTATAATCAAATGAAGAAATCACATTACAAAATGAAAGCAAAAGGGAAAAAGAAAAGGAAGAGGGCAGAAAAGATTATTCATGCCTCAAAACTCAAATGGCATGGACTTGAAACAGGCCAGCGAGGAAGCAGAACGTACTTCACTGGGAAGCAAATTCCATAGTCTTGACCCTGCAAATCTGAAGCCAAGGATAAGTTATATGGAAAAAAAGTTTATAGATATGGAGGAAATTTTATTTTTATTTAATTTTAAATATGTATATTAAAACTAAAAGTTCATAAGTGCTTAGAATGTTAAGGTTGCTGAAGATGTTTACGTAGGAAGGAATACGATCCCTTGGTTTAAGGTCAGGACAGTATCTAATGCAGAAGTGATAAGTAATTTGAGGGCAATGAGCAGATTGAGTCAAGAAATTTAAAAAAAAGTTTTCTGTGGTGTTAAAAAGCTAATGCATCAAAGAGAATGGGTTATTATTTATCTATCTACACCATCAAAACTTTATGCGTAAATAAATAAAAACGGCAACGATTATGGAATAAGTGTTGAAATGTAGCTCTAATAGTGTTGAATTGTTTAAAAACTATATTGCATTGCTTTCATGTAATATCATATGTAATATAGTAAATAAATTAATTAAAACAAGTAACATAGAATAATGAAATAAATAGTTTTATACATAAATAATTACTATAGCACACAATAAAGTCTATAGTGCAGTATCACACATTAATATCACATTATTTCAAAAATGCATAGATCTATTTATACACATCCACATTTCCAGTCGAAAGCAAGCTTTCCCAGCAAAACGGTCACTCAACATTTCTTCAGCCCATAGAAAAATTTCTGACTTGCCTTTTTATATTTCTGAGCTTCAAAATGATAGAATTTATGTTTTCCTGTTCATTGGCTAATTTTATGCTTGTTTGCACCACAAATTCTTTTGTACCATTAATTCCAGATAACCAAGGTTTTTATCATATTTACGGGAATAATTTGTTTGATTTGTGAGGAGTGGTCAAGACTGAATCTTGACCGCTCCTCACGAATCCAACAAATTATTAAACTGGTCACTAAAAACACATTTTGGGGAATGTGGATTTAAATAGCAAATCCTTGGGTGTACCACATGCTCCATTCTTGCATCAACTGTATGGTGAAGAGGTGTTTTGTCTCCCTTTTCGGCAGATTGATATTCCCTATGCTTTATCGCTTCTTTGGTCCAAATCGGTCCACTACCTCATTATCACAGATGCTAAAATGTCACCGACTCTAGCAGAAAAACTACTCTTTTCTGCAGAGACTGTATGACATATATGGCATTAATGATTTCTGGTAGATGATAATCATACTTTGTATTTGGGTGAAATTGCTTGATCTGATTTATGTAGCTCATACTGTTCGAGGCTATGCAAAATTCCCTTCCAACATGGCAATGTACGAGGGTTCTTGGCATTACATTTCAGCAGTAAAGTAGTGAATGTTGAAATACCTTCAGAACAAGAAAAATTAAAAAATACAAAAATAAAACTGCTCAAGTAAGTCAATTAAGAAGGAAAAGTAAAAAGTTTTTTTATATTTTTCAGCCTCCAGAAAAGTATTTCTCCAATTATTTTTAGGCATTTACAAGAGCAGTAGTGTTTTTTTAGAGTATGGTCAGTGAAGTTTTAGTAAGTCTGGTTTTATTGACTGAAACGTCCCCTTGTGAGGTAAGTGACATTCTTTTCCTTTTAAACGTCTTGTCCAGCTCGAATTGTTTTAAAGGTTCCTTTTAGAGTTTTGTGTTGGAAATTTGTGTTTTGTACACGAACGTACGGTCAGTACGTAGTACGTACATACTACGGCCATCTTGAAGTCCAGTCGTACTTGCGCCGTCCGCGCTTCCTGGCGTCAGTGTCCAGTGACAGAATCCTGGTGAGAAGCGAAGCAAAGCGGAGAGATGTCCCTCGACCCTCAGACATCAGTTGGCTCTGGATCGTAAATCGGGTACGCGTTCGGCTGGACAGGAACGCCATATGTTCTAGGAAAACGAGAAAGGTGTTAATAATACGGACTCGATGGATCGGCCGTCTTCCTCGGCGCGGGCTTGAGACCTTTCGGGAGAAGTGCGTCGAACGCGTAGAAAAAGAAAGACAAAGCCTTCGTCCAGTGATTGTGGATGTGGAGCGGATTAGGTGGAAACACCTCGAATCCAACAATAACGAGACAGTCTCCCGGGCGGAAAAGGTCGGGACACGGCTCGCCAGCGATCAATTGCGTTTCCCTGTTTTGTTTTTCCTATCCGCGCCTCCTCCAGCGCGACGAATGACGGACTGCGCTGTTTGAACCGTCGCGAGGATCATGTGAAGAGGCGGAGGACGCATTTCCGCCTGGTCGCAGGTAAACGCTAGACGGCCGGACAATGGACCCCATGTTCCTGCCCTATTCCTCAGTCAACGGAGTCCCCCAAGAGTCGAAACTGGCGACGTACATGGTAAATAAAACTGACGCTTTATCTCAGACCTGTTGTACTTATTTTGTCTCTTTGAACATTACCATTTCTTTTATAATAAACTGATAATATAATTTTTTATTCATTTTTATTATAATATCTGGGAATTTTCCTCACGTTTTTTTTTGTTTATTATTACCACAATTATAAATTTACAAACTTAAATTACCAAGTATGCTACTTGTAATTTTAGTTGAAATACATATAGTTCATAATTTTCAATTAATTAATCTATAATTAAAGTTTTAGTTGAGATAAAAAAGTCAGTGTCACAAGCGGGATAGTTCATAATTATGACTTTTTATGTCTTTGATTATTAATTTAGCTAACAATAGTCAAGAAAAAATAAACATTTTGTTATGTGAACTTGTTGATCCAGATTTTGATTGTATTAGTTTAGGCAGTACATAAATCACGTAAATGTACTGCATTGCGCATTTAATTTAAAACTAGTATTTCAACTACAAGATATAAATATATATAGGATTATATGAACCCTCAGGGTGCTGGGTGTTTTTGAAAAAAAAGCCCGTTTGTAAGTATGTTGAGTTTGAATGCAGGGCTACTGGATTCGAACCCGGGACCTCTACCTTACAGTGATGAGCGCCACATCAACGCCTAAACCATTGTGACCACCAACAAAATTATTTCCTTCATGTTGATTAGTTCAATACACAATAACAAATAAGAATATCATTACAAAAAATATGATATATTTTAAAACAGTAGTAATAATAAGAAACAAAAATATTCATTACATCTGTGGAGTTACCTGGGTCCTATTTCATAATGAAGTACAAACTGAACGAATATTAGTTTAGAAGCTTGTAATTTGTACAATTTTTTTCAAAATGATTATTTAGAGATCGTGAGATGCTGTCTGGTGTGACGTAGGTTTAGAAAACCATTTTCTTTATTGTGCCGACGTTTCGATCTTTATTGAGATCAGGAAAACATTTTCTTTATCATGCCAACCTTTCAATCATTACTGAGATCATCTACAGGGCTCAAAGTGTTTGTTTTCTGTGTTGAGAGTGCCCACACGACACACAATAATGACACAGAAAACAAACACTTTGAGCCCTGTAGATGATCTCAGTAATGATTGAAAGGTTGGCATGATAAAGAAAATGTTTTCCTAAACCTATGTCACATATAAGACTGCATGTCATGATCTCCAAATAATCGTTAATTAACGGTCACTAAACACCATACATTTCAAAATAATGTAAGGTTGAAAATATAAGAAAAATTGTTTAAAGTACACTGGTTTAAAAGCAGTTATTAATAATACAAACATTTGTAAAATACCCAACTTAATTAATAAAAGTCTCAGATTTCCAAAAATTAAATTACTTTTGTTCTTCGTTTCTTTACAATGCTGGAGGATTTATTCATCAGTCGTGATGATGGACAAATTACTGACCATGTGGCTCTATAGAATGTTAAGGTGGCTCCTGGCATGCGGTATTTGTCAAATGCCGCTGAACATCGTGTCGAGAGACGTGGTTGTAAATTGTTTCAATTTGATGATAAGCTATAAGCTTCAAATATGGATCGTTGAAAACGACTAATTGGGAGTAGGAACTATTTAAAAAAAAAAAGATTCAACAAAACACTCATTCCACCATTTATCATTTCTATCTAATGGTCTGTGTGATACAGACAAATGGTGAAAAATTTACCATAAGACACCTTTTGGGACTTTGTGTCATAAATCTTGGCATAAATATTTGGTTGTCATAAATGCATAAATATTTTAAAGTGTGATAATATTAAATTGATAATTTTATTAAACTGGCCGTATGGTTTGATTGTTACTTTAAATTAGAAGAAACAGATATATTAAGGAAAAAGTGGACTGGAAAGTGTATAATTGGAAATGACTCTTCTATAATGTATTACTGACATTCTATAGTTAAATGAAAAACGTAAAAAATTCTACAATTTTTTAGGGTAAAGACAATTTAATCACTTAGAGTTTTCGACTTGTACAATGATTTTAATGTTTGTGTTGCCCAAACATTAAATGATCAGAATGAAGGAATGTAGTATCTGATGAATCTTAAGCCAAAATGTTAAAGAAAATTTCAGTTTTATAAGAATTTTACTGTGAATTCAAACATCTAAGTTCTAATTATCTGTTATGGTTTATTTGTTTACTATTATACCATTATGTCACAGTTATTATGCTGACATAATCGGACGACTTGCTTTAAGGCAATATTTGCGGCTTTTTAAAAATAAATTTGAAATGATTGGTTAACTCTTAATTGATATAGATTTGTCCATACAGCTGTTAAATTATATTTATTATTTATCTTTATTATTTCTTATATCTTATTATTTATATAAAATGACATGTAAATCAAAATAAATAGTAATGCAAAAACCAACTTGGAAATTAGTTGACATGTATTTCATTTGATATATTCATAAATTTTTTGTTCTTATTGCTATTGGGCCATTTTGCCTATTCAGATGAAATACTCGTGTCGAACATGATACTGACCACCTGATAAACAAGAATTGTTCAGACATTAATATTATAGACTTTTCTCAAGATAGTGAGAAGAGAAGCCTGTTTCAGTACAAAAAGCCATGATTGTTTATTTTTTAAATCATCTGTAGTATAAATTAATCTACATTTAAAAAATATCTTTTCAGTACTTGATTTCTTTTTATCTCCTTTTGCGATGTATTGATTTTTAAATGAAATAGTCTACTTTTGTTTTAATATTTTTACAATTAAATAAAAAATTCAACAGTTGTGAAAAAATCCTTAATGAAGAAAAAGACAGAACTCGAGGTTATTGTACAAGAATTGTAACGATGGACTAGAATATTTAGAGATTTTTAAACTGAGTACGAACACGACAGGATGAAACTCTTTGATTGCTCCTCAAGTTGTATCGTTTAGAAATGCCGGCTATGTTGACTCTCCCTTTCAGAGAGGAGGTAAAAATTTTATTCAGAACTGCATTTTGATATAAGTATCTAGTCTTCAGTCTGCTTGGAATCAAATGCATAATTTACTGGCAAGTTGTTTAAGTTTGACTATAATTTTTCCAATATATGATAATGACAGAAACGGGATAACTCTTAAAGAGGTGATTTTTAGATCCAATGATAATTAGATATAAGTATGATATAAAAGTATCTAGTCTTTAGCCTTCGTGGAATCAAATGCATAATTTGCTGGCAGGTTGATTAAGTTTGATTATAATTTTTCAAATCTATAAATATGTAAATGACTGAAACAAGATAATTCTTAAAGATTTGAAAAATAAAATTTCTTGTGGACAGCATAAAAAAATTAATTAACAATATTTCCGTGTAGGGTTTCTGCCCATCGACTTGATTATCTGTAAGCTGTAATTTTTAGATCCAATAATAATTTGATTATATTCAGAAAAACTAATAGGAAACAATTGTAGGCTGAACCCATGCTGATAAAAAATTTCATATAAATACATGAATACATCGAGTACCCACATACCAGTTGAACCAATTAAGTTATGCAAGAATGTATTATGTATTTATTAGCATGAATGAATGAAGGAAGGCGTTAAGATTAAAATCGCCTGTCGGGCTGCCAGCCATATGTTTAAGCTGGACATAGTTTTAGCATAGTTGTAGGGGTGGGGTCTATGCAGTCTACTGAGAACTGAGACCTGTCAAAGATGGGATAACCATTTAAATATTATGAATATGTATTTTAATTGACATTTTAATCATTTATGGAAGGGTTGAACATCAAAGATAGAGGTAATAAAAAAAATGCAAAATAGACCTAGCTGCTAGCTGGCCAGAAAAAAATGGTAAAAATAAAAATACCTACAATCAATCTATAATGGATTAAGAAGAAGCACAACAAAAAGAAATGATAACTGTCAATTTATCACTCATTCTGTAACAGAGGCCTTCCTACGTGATTGCATACTTGAGTAGGACAAGGTGAACTCTAGACAAAGTGTACAATTAACCTATATAAAATTCGATGGAGTATTTAACATTCTTCCTTCGACTCTTGCACCCTGAACATCGATGCTAGTTTAGTACGTTCATTCACTTTATTTTAACCTAGCTGCATGTAGTTAACTATTCTTGCGTTTATGTGATCTGATGGAACTAAGCAGTAATATATTAATTATATTTGCAAATTCTTAAGCTAATTAACTTTTTATGAGGACTGACTTGAGTGATGATTTTTTTAAAAGAAATGTTTGTTGTATTTTCTTTCAGAAAAGACAAAATGAAAGTCTTCCTGTGGCAGCCTCATTAACGAAAAATCTCTCTACTTTAAGCTTGAACGACTCGTTGCCTTCCTCACTTAAAAAGGTATTTTTGCCCTTACATATCTTTAATAACTGTAGCATTTAAGTAAATAGAGTAAAATTGTTACTCATTTGTTTGAATTGCCATTATCCTTCCTTTGTTTGTGTTGCAACATCGTAGTTTTTATTTGGGATTGTAAATAGAAAATATTTACAATCTGTTTAATTTCTTTTTCAAAACAGTTCAAGGATTAGCCTTGAAATATGATAACTAGAAAATTGACTAAAGAATTTAAAACACGCTATACAATCAAACATTGCCTGAATAACTTTTTGTAAATGATGTAAATAAATGATCTACTCACAGATTGTTTATAACGATTCGGATTTCGAGCTTGTAGCTCATCATCAGGTTGAAAGACTTACAAACATGTCTTTTGATGTGAATTGTAAGAGTGAATTCGCTGATCCACCACCAACGTTCCAATGAGAATCTGGTTTATAAGCTCAATTTTGAATGTGCGAAAAATGTGAATTGTAACTTTTTTTGTCTCAAATTTCTCAAACCAGTCTAGTTCCCTTGCTTTGTTGAAACTGTGTAACACTGTTGTATTTAAATTGAATTACAAAAATAATTTAGAAGCATAATGCCTATCAAGGACTCCTTACCATATGAAGAGTCCCAATGATTTCCACCACCCTGTAAAGAGGATTTAGTTCCACTCTGATTTGCCCCTTGTTAAAAAATTCTAAGACAATGCTAAAGCTAAAATATGCTTTAAAAGCAGTTTTAAGAAATTACAAAACTAGGATTAGGCGTAAGATCATTTAGCAGTAATATCAATGAATAGAAAAAAGATTAGACATTCGCTAATCCATTTATAATTTACAAGTTATTGTTCTACAAACATCTTGATTATGTTCATTGAATAGATAAGTTATTTCTTAAAGTATATATTTTTATTTTGCTGTATGTAATTTATTGGCATAACCTGAGGTTCTGATTTATTGAACTATTGAATAAATTTATAACAATAATAAGGAAAATTTTAGTATAAATGGATGGTGATTTTCTTTGGCACATAAACTTATTATTATAGTAAAGCATAAGTCCAAATTCCCCTTCTAAAATTTGAAAGGAACAAAACTATAAGATAAATTTTATTAACTGTGTATAATTTACATTTGGAAACTTGAGTGTTAGTAAATGCGTGGTTATTCAAGGCAGGCCTATATTATTTAATTAGTGCATATTATTACTATAGTTCTAATTCTGTTCATAATCTACAGAACATTAAACTCTTTACAGCTATCTACTGTTTTATTGGGATCTATTTTCTGTTTGAAGGTTGTACCTGGTTCCACTGAATTCATACCAAGGAGTTCTCCTTCACTTAACAGTGTTACATATTCATCGACATCACCGTTGACAGTCACATCACATATCAATTCATCACCAACTCCTACAGCACCAACATACCAGGTGATTAGAATGAAAGCTAAAGCATTTGGAAAGACATTTTTATTTTTGTTTTGTATTTGTGCAGGAGTATGTCGGTGGAACTACATATTTTTACTCCGCTCCTGAAGCGACTACTGTTGCAAACAGTGGAGTTGGATCTAGCATTGTACAAACGATTGGAAGCACAAACTCGACTGGCGTACCAATTGTTGGGGGTGGAGGTGGAGGCGGAGAAGACGAACAGCATCTCCACCATCACAGGGCATCAATAACTCTCAGACAGCCTTCAGTCACAATGTTTCCAGGTACTCCGAGTCATGCTAAAACGGCCATGGCCAAACTTCACCAGCAGGTGGTCGGAAGTGGAGCAGGCTCATCAAGCAGTCAGACACCTGATGATACGGTCCTTTCTTCAGCATCGTACTTTGTCTCAAATCAGCTTCGAATGGAAATACAGCATAAAAACAATCTTACACTGGCAACACCGGATCCAACATTGTACCCTGGTAAACATTTTTCATAACATATAATTAAAGGTATTATGTAAAAAGTAACCTCACTGTAAGTGTAACATTTTAATTTGATTCACCGCAATTTATCCTTACATTTGAGAATGAAAATTTAAGTCTTTCCATGATGACAGCTTATTTCAATTTAGTTTTAAAGTTACAGCTTTGGAAAATGTTATTAATAAAATTAAAATAAGTTCTTTTTTTTACAATAAATTAAAACTATATAATGTGCATGTTTGACACACATGGTAATAAAATAAAAACAAATAAATTCATTTACCATTTGTTTTATTTTAGAAGAGCTTATAACTTTTTTCAGCATATCATACATGTTATTACAATTAAATAATTTAAAACTTTTAGCTTCATTTCTTCAATTTTTAGGGTAGTTTTATTGATAATTGTTATTAGAACTCTTTATAAAATTGATATGGCCAAGTTTAACATAAGTATCATTTCAAATGCAGATCTACCGTTAGAAGTAGACAACTATCACGAACTTGTCCCATTAGAACAGCTACCAGCTGTGCCGAAGCCTCACCTCATTCCATATTCAACATCTACTTACAAAGCTACTCATATTAAAACCGGTGTAAGGTATTGTCTCAGGAGGGTTCATGGTGAGTGTCTGTCAACTGGTTTTTCTCACATCTTGCTCAGCTAATTATTATCAATAATTTTAGGATTCCGTTTGCCGAATTCAAAATGCATGGTTCTTGTGGATATGTGGAAGAATCTAAGTCATTCTAATATTGTCCAGTTGCGGGAGGTTTTTACAACAAAGGCTTTTGGTGATCAATGTAAGTTACAATAGACACATCCTTCAAAACAAAAAAGTAACTATTATCACATGTTTTATCAATTAAATGTTCATATGTTTATATGGTTGTAATGAACAGTTTTTGCCCTTAATTACAGTTTATATGTATGGTCACTGGCATTTTTTTAAAAGCTTTTAATTATTTTTCTCTCGCTGTACTTTGATCATTTAATTTTCTTTAGATTTAAAGAATTGAATTTAATTGTAATTATAGCTTAAAAAAGTTTAATTACAAACATGTTAAGGGGCACTCTCAACACGACACACAAGAATGACACATCTATATGGAAAACAAACACTTTGAGCCCTGAAGATGATCTCAATAAAGATCAAAACGGCTTGATAAAGAAAATGTTTTTCTAAAACTTACATCACACCAGACCGTACCTCACGATCTCCAAATAATCAGTACTATTAACATAACAATGCCACTTACAAATAATATCAAAATAAATATATCAACAAAATAAAAAGTAAAACCCATTTGTAATTACATCACAACTTTCATGCCCATGGAAATAATAATCCAGATAGTTGCTAAGAACAATTTTGTGAGTAGAACCATCCTTTACAAAAAGAGACTTTGAGCTTTTCTCACTTTGCTGCCCATTAGCACTTAAAAAACACTAAATAGTAGTGTTGCATGAATGTGTTTTTTATTTTTTTTATAACATTACCACTTTTTTTATTTATAACATTACCACTTTTTTTATGAGGGTTTTATGAACTCTCGGGGTGCCAGTGTTTTTGAGAAAAGCCCATTTGTAAGTATGTCGGGTTTGAATTCAGGGCCTCTGGATTCAAACCCAGGACATGTACCTTACAGTGATGAGACCGTGTCAACATCTTAATCGTTGAGGCCGGTTTTTATTCTAAGTTCACAACTAACGGTTGGGTTTTCTTTTTAATAATAAGCTATAAAAATAGAAACTGCAGATTTATTCTAAATTTGATGTCGATTTATATTTCAGCAATAATCTTTGTTTATGATTATCATCCGGATTCTGAAACTCTATTAGCAAGACATTTTTCCAACTCGGATTCTCTAAACGGTTACAGTGATTCATTTTCTTCAAATCCAAATGCTCCTCGGCCTTACTCTCACAGTAAAAATCATTTACTGAGGCAGCAACATACGTAAGAGTCACATTATGAAGATTTGAAATTATAATATTTAAAAAAAATGTTTTCCTCTCCCCTACAGAAACGGAATGCTTTCTGAAACTACAATTTGGAGCTATGTAATCCAACTAACTGGAGCTATGGCAGTTGTTCATGCTCTTGGTCTAGCATGCAGATGCATTGATCCTTCAAAGGTTCTCCATACAGGAAGGTCACGTCTACGGCTTAGCTCTCCAGGCATAATGGATGTTGTCACTTTTGATGGATCTCTCTCAAATCCCCTTAGTTTAATTCCACATTATCAGGTAACTTTTTAAGAACTCTCTTTAGCATGCGATTGATTGCAATGAATTTGTTCAGCAATCAAGACAAATTTCAGCAAGAAGATTTGACGGCTTTGGGAAAATTGGTACTTGCTCTCGCCTGCAGATCACTGATTGCCGTCCAGCGAGAAAACCTCCAAACTTCTTTAGACCTGATGTCGAGAACTTACTCTACTGATTTGAGAAATTTAGTGATGTGAGTAATATTTCTATGTTAATATTAATGGGTACCATTATTTATCATTTTGTAAAATTATTACAACACATATTAGCCAACTTTCATGCTATACTTAAGTTAATAAATGTTTCATTTTGCATCCTTAGTTACCTGTTATCTTCAAAAACAATGAGGAGTGTCGTTGATTTAATGCCAATTATAGGCGCACGGTATTACTCTCAGCTGGATACAGTACAATACCACAATGATATTCTTAACACTGAAATGGCGAAAGAAATGGAAAATGGCCGGCTTTGTCGCCTACTTGTGAAACTAGGGACAATCAATGAAAGGCCAGAGTAAGTTTATATAGTTTCATTATTTTGATATTATGTTTTTAAATATATTTTTAGAAAAGTGACAACCATTAAAAATTTTGTACTCATGTTTCAACAACTGGTATTATTTTTATAATCGTATAATTCAACTTTTTATTGATTCAATACAATTTTTAATGTTTAGAATTCAAGATTAGAATCCAAAATGTAGTCAAATTGTCATTAGTAATTAATGGTTAATTCTATGGTTTATTTCCTTTTTACATTTTTATGTACTTACCACCCCGATCTTCCGACCATTACTCAGATCTGATAATGGCAAAGACAGGGCCCAGAATCGTGGGAACTTCATAGTCTTTAACATGTACATATATAAACAAAAAAAAACATTAATATCTCACTAACACTCTCAACACTGAACACACAACAGTAACATATGTACACAGAAAACACACTTTGAGTGAGTACAAATACTAGATTAAACCTAAAATTTGTACATCATTGTATAAATTAATATTCACATCTTTTATGTATTTGTATAATTTAAACAATGTTTATAAATCCCAGGCCCGGAAGATGACCTCAATAAAGATCGAAACATTGGCATGATGAAGAAAATGTTTTTTCTAAACCTCCATCAAACCACGATCTCTAAATAATTTATTAATAATTATAATTTGGATTATAACATCCTGATTCTTGGTGGTTTTAGTTCCGTGGTTTTCCCATTTAATAGTTCTATTTGTCAGAAGAGAGATTCCTATTACAAAATACACTAAATACATTCTGTTCTAAATACATTGTTTACATCCTTTTTTTGTGACGGAGACACGCTTTGTGCTCTGGTCCCCTGAAATTTTGTAATTAACTACATAAAAAGAATTTTACTAGCTAAGGTATTTAACTAGGTTAAAAGGAATTTCCTTATTTTTTATTCTACGTTAACTGGGGAATGTAGTGCATCTCAATATTTTGTTGGTTTACTGGTTTAAATACTTTAATAGAAAATTTCTTTAAAGAACTCACTCTTACAATATAAATTAATCAATTTTTTAAAAATTATCTTATTGAAATTTAATCTTTTCTTAATGAACCTTTATTAAACAAATTGATTTGATCAAATATTTAACAATTTATATTGAGGCTTACTAATAAGGTTTAGACAATTTAAACACTTTTTTAAAAATATCTCCAATAATATTGGATAAGGTAGTCAATAATAGCACATGCTATGGACATGGAAATGAAAAAAACGGTTGGCCTACCAATTTTCTTTTTCTTTAAAATGGCACTGACGATTTAACTAAAATGGGACAATCTCTCCTGAGGTTGTCAATGGCAATGGACTATATAAAGTCGAGTCTTGTTAATTCAAGACTTGATAATACAAACTCCTCAGCATGTCACTTTGGTAAATAAAAAAATATAAAATAAAAAATCTCTGTAATTTGACCAATACTGTTGGTAATACGAAATATTTTTTTGTAACGGGGGAGAAATGGAGCCACTTCCCCCCTTTATAATTTGAACTTTTTCTTTGTAATGTTCCTCCAAAATTCCACATATTGTTTAATTCCTTACAGCATAAATGCTCAGCAGTCAGTGTTTTGTCTATATGTTCTTATCACTGGTCACTTTGGAAAAATATTTAGACAGGCTGCATTAAACCAAAAACTTTTTTTTTGAAAATTTTTTTCATAATGCATACATTGCTCACGATTATAGTGATCTATTTTCCAGTTTTTTATTATTTTTTTCAGTTTTGTATATGTACAATTAAGTAATAACTTGGAAAAATGCATATCAACTCTTAATAATTTGATTTTATTTCCTCTAGATAATTCAAATTATTTTTGTAGTCCCTTGGGTTTCAAATTATCAAGAGTTAGTTAGTTTATGAAAATGTGGCCAGCATATATATTGACGGCTGGATGTTTTGAACAGAGCAAAGTCTATTTTTATTTTTTCAAATTTTGTTGTTTAAATTTTGTCTCGAATTGTGCGTATATTCATGGCATATATAGATTTAATTTTTATACATGAAATTTGAGGTAAAAAGTCAGTATCACAAATGGGATTTTCTAATTGTACCGTGATGCTCTGGGTTCAGTTCTGAGAACTGTGCGTTCAAATCCCATCTGTGACATTGACCTTTTTATCTCAAATTTTATATATATAAAATTAAATTGTCATAAGATTGTAAGAAATTTTCTCTCACTCTTCGTTTCTTTAAGGTTTTTATTGAATGGTGTAAAATAATTTTCCTTAATGTGTAGGTTGAATATGGACCCAGCTTGGTCTGAAACTGGTGATAGGTACATGTTAAAACTGTTTAGGGACCATGTATTTCACCAAGTCACAGAGGATGGAAGGCCTTTTCTTGATATGGCCCATGTTGTTCATTGTCTTAACAAACTGGATGCAGGCACTCAGGAAAAGGTATATACTGCTTTTATTAAAAATAAATAATTGTATTACTTCCCATCAGTGAATCAAAAGCTCCTGCACTTTAAATTAATCATTAGGATAAACACATTTTAAAAAATATCAGTAAAATTTCCAATTGAAACCTAATATATTCAGTCATGTAATTTGACATTTGAAGAGCTTTAACTTTTCAAGCAATAATGTAAATACAATTGATTACAGGTCTGCTTAATGTCAAGGGATGAACAGAGTGTTCTTGTAGTGACTTATGCTGAACTTAAACATTGCTTGGAACAGTCGTTTGCTGAAATTGTGGCTAGTTCTGGTGTCCATAAAGCACTTGACTGAATTTAAAAGTGGAAAAAAAAGAAAAAAGAAGAGGGGATGGAATTGAGTTGGCAAAGAAGGGTTGGTGAAATGATGAAGAAAGGCAAAATCACAATGAGTCAGACTAGTACTTAACCTCCTGGGTTTTTATACAAAAACAATAAACACAAAATTTCAAAGAAACAAAACTACAAACAAAAAATCATACAGGGAAGCGCCAGGAGTGAAGCCCTCCATCCGACCGTCCAACATTTTTATAAAAAGCAATAAAGTGGTTTTAAATGGAATCAAGAGATCAAATGTCAAGTCGGATGGGAATCTCTTTATTCAATATCTCTTCTCAAACAAAAACAAAAAAATATATATATAGATATCTATATATATATATATATAAATATATATCTGTGTGTCTGTGTCTGCATGTATTGTTTATACACACAAGAACAAAACAAGTGTGTACAATTTTCTCATAAAAACATAATTGGATTTTTTTTTAATTTTTTGTACTTAGGCATTGCTCAGGTTTTTTCCCCTGCCACTATTACCACAATTTAAATTTATCTTTTCCAAAAATTCCCAAAGTTATTTTACACAATAAAAAGTAAATATACTTTGTAATATATAGAGAATTTATTCTGATATGGAAAATTTGCTTCGTACAAAAATTGATTGTATATATATAATTTAGGTTGTGATTGAGCTTTATAAACAATAATTCCGTTAAAGAATTAAAAATGTTACTAAATGAAAAGAAAATTAACATTTTTTACAGAGTTTATATTTTAAAATGTATAAAAATATTTTTTGAAAAACACAAAACATTTCAAAACTATAATCGATTCTTCTATAATTTTGGGACTTCCTTCCTTTTTGTAATCAAATCAATATTCACGTTAAGCTTTAAACAAATTATGAGTGCAATAACATACTCAGTGCAATAGAATGCCAGGTTCTTTTACTTTCAGATTGATGAGTTCGAAATTATGATTATGTTCAATGTTTGCAAAGGGAAAAAAAGTTTTATGAGCAACAGTGATAAATCTGTCACTCAAATATGGTGTACAATTAAATTTATGTGTACATTTAATGTTTATCCGTATTGTATGCCAACTAGGCATTTTTTCCAATGAAGTTCCTTTTTGTATTATTTTTGTTTTTAGAAGTGAACAATAAGATTCCACTGCTGTTAACAATTTGAAATTCAATTTTATTTGCCAGTGACTTTTATTTGTTTTTATAATTTAAACAAATGTTTATATAAATGACTTCCTCCCATAATTAAAAATGAGTCCTTTTTTTTTAATTGCAGATTTTTTTTGTTATACAATATTAACCCAAAAGTCAGATCTAATATATTACTAATTTAAGTTTCTTAACCTAGGTTTATTAAAACCTAATGAATGCAAATCTGATTTGAACTATTTTAACATTGAAGGAAAAAACCTGTAATTTGTTGGCAAATCTCTATTGTTCATCTTCATTTATATTCATTTTGATTTTTAATACAGATTCAAATTGTATTTGTTTGAGATGCAAATTATGTAGGAAATTCAACCATTAAATTAATACTGTTATTAGTTTAACAAACATTCTTTTCCGAATCTTTATTAACAATGAAGGTAATTAAACATTATTTTCCAAACATATGCACATTGTGTCTTTCCAAATGATTTATGCTGTAATTAAAATCGTTTTAGTAACAGAACATTCCACTGAATGTTGAATTGATTTAACATGTAAGAATAAATGTGTATGTCTCAATGAAATAATATAAAATTTAATGATACAATTAAAAAAGAACCCGCAATGCTTTCACATTTTCAAGATAACATTTAAAGAATAGGTTCTTAGTCTTGGGAACAATCTGTGGAAACATTCTGGGTTTCAAGGTAATAAACTTGAGCTTGGTTAGTGTGAATGCCAGTTCAATTTTCCTCTGCATTAGCTGTTTTTGTTATTAGATGCTTACCTTTTGGAATGCGGTATTTGTGCTTAAAATGTGTCAAACAAGGACCATGTGCTTAATTGAGGATTGAGAGTTGCAATTTTATATTTACATGTTGCAAAGCATGTGAGACGAAAATATGATAAAAATAAATTCACACCTCGTTTGTAAAGCCTTTTTTAAATCAAAGTGGCAATCGTTTTTTATTTTATTTTATTTTTACTTCAAGAGATATAAAATCGGGTAGTATTTGTTTTCCCCATCAATAAAAACATTTTCTGATCTAAGTAAAATGGATTTGTTAATATAATATATATACAGTAGATTTTTTTAACTGTCCATTACTGTAAGCTCAATTTTATTACCATGGAGAGTTAAATATGTTGCTAAAAATTGAACTTGTAAATTTAATGTATAAAGTAAAGAAATTCTCAATAAAGTATTTTAAAATTAAAAAACATGATAAAAGAATGTTTTATTTCTTCTATGTCCTCATTCATCCATCCTACTTATAAATTTTGTAAATCCACACCAGAAACAATGGAATTTTTAGTATTTTTTCAAAATAAATATTTAAACATTTCTAATGACATGTTTATTACCATCTGTATAAAACAATACATTTTGTTATTTTATGGACTTATATTCTATATTATGTTATATTTACAATACACTGGTTTGAGGGTTATTAGCAACCATTATTCTCAGTTTTAAAAATATTATTGGTACAGAGTATGTACTTTATGTTTGATAAAATTAAAAAGTTCTCTTACAAAAGTAAATCCTTAAAATATTCAAATTTCTGAAAGTGCTTAGAAAGGTATGTTTAAAGAGAGCTCTCGATACAAAAAATTTTTGTTAAAGAATGATTTTAATACAAGTTAATTTCTGAATGCTTGATCGATTTGAAAATTCTTATTAACGAAAGTTGCAAAATAATTGTAAAAGGGATATAATTCATTAGGTTATTAAATATTAGGTATATTAGATAATTCAGTACTACAATTAATTAAGGTTTTTTAGTTGAGATAAAAAAAGTCAATGGCACAAGCGGGATTCGAACCCACGACCTTCGGCTAGATACGCCGCTGCTCTACCACTTGAGCTAAATGTAACCTCAATCCACTCGGACACTTCCCATCTCAACCCTGCCTTTTGAATTTTCCTTCCTTTTTGCCATTTTTCAAATATCGTGTAATCGGATTGGATTCTCGACGACAAATGAAATGGCCACGGAGAGCTTTAGTGAAGTATACTTCATTTAAATTCATTAAATTCACTAATTTTGTGGTCTGCTTGACCAATAAATATATTACAATTAATTAAGGTTTTTTAGTTCAATCCGATTACCCGACATTTGAAAAATGGCAAAAAGGAGTGTCCGAGTGGATCGAGGTCATGATAGCTCAAGTGGTAGAGCAGCAGCGAAGATCGTGGGTTCGAATCCCGCTTGTGCCATTGACTTTTTTATCTCAACTAAAAAACCTTAATTAATTGTAATATATTTATTGGTCAAGCGGACCACGAAATTAGTGAATATAATTCAGTACATTGAGATGAGTAGTTGGTGTCCAAGTGGATCGAAGTCACGACAGCTCAAATGGTTATTTAGCCAAAGGTCGTGAATTCGAATCCCATTCCTAACACTAGCTTTTTCACCTGAACCAAGACCTTAGATAAAAACATAATCAAAGTAATTATTTACAACGACCATTAATAAACATTAATTATTAAAAATAGGGCAGAAAGTGTTCTTTGTAGTAGTGACAATATAAATTAATGAGATTTTGGTTCTTGGTAGATTTATTACTGACATTTTACAACAGGTCACAAACAAGCTTGACATCCATTATTTCATCAAACTAAGCATCGGTTCCTAATAAACTTTATTTCAAGACAGTTTTTGAAATACACAAGTAAAAATAAATAGTTTTGAATAACATTTTTCATTGACAAAATAATCGCCTAAGCCACATGAAGAGATAAATAAAAAAATTGAGAAAATGAACACATTTAAAATAACAAATAAATTTTTACTACTGGATGAATTGTGAATAAGTTGGATTTAGTGAGTAATTTTAAGAGAGCAATTCAATTTGACTTATTTTGTTTTACACCACCATTTTTAAAATGTGAAATCACACACTGAGTTAGGCACTTATAGAACAAGCTACTGGCAACAAGGGTGCTGGATTTTAGCATGCCAATTCAATCCTGAAATTCGACTTTTCGTACTCTTTCACAATTCATGTGGAAAATACACAATCATGGATAAGGTCAATTAGAAAGAAAAAGGCTAACAATTCCTTCAATGAGCTTCCAATGAATACATGCCTTACATGAGAACTCTGAAACTTTAATTAATAATTTAAAAGATTAACATATATGAACTTTCAGTCACAAATTTGAAAAATGGTTTCAATATAATGAATTTATAAAGATCAACATGGCACGCATTCTTTCCAAACTGTCTTTATCCCTAGTATTATTCTTTAAAAACCATTGAAGGCTGAGAAATAATTATACTGGAAATAACAATCATAAAAGTCAAATCAACTGCAAGGATGGTTGGAACTGATGATCAGGGGTAACAAAGAGTTAACCAGCTCACATTCTAAGTAGTACAAATTGACCAATTAATATTTTAATTTAATAAATGTTGCAGAGCAATTAAGTCAAATTAATTATTTTTGCCTGCCTTCAAAAATAAATGGCCTAATAATTATGAATAAATATTTAACAATTTAACTTCTTTGGTAAAAAAGTTAACTTACTTTTTCTCACCTTTACCACAATTTTAATATTTGATTTAGCGGTTTGTGATTTGATAACACCCAGTCGTGAAATGGAGTTCCAATAGCTGCAATACACTTCAAAAGTGCTAAACAATCTCCTTCAGCAGTGTGGGAGTTTTCAGGTGGTTTTCCAAAAAGGTGCTGATAGACTGCCTGAAGTCTGTACGATGGTTTACATGGCCTGCAGTAACGTATATGTGTAAATTTTTTGCTTTTTACAACAGTATTTATTTTTATGTAGTACAAGTAAAACTGCTGATTGTACAAATTTAAAGTAAAAAAACAAAATCTAGCCCTAGGATAAGAAGAATCACCCAGAGTAGGGAAATGTCTAGTAGGGACTATGTTTCACTGCTCAACAGGCCACATGGCCACTACTACATTATCTCCTCTGGGGAAGTATTGAGGATAGTCAGTTTGTTAAGCTTAAAACTAAGTGATTGGGGTAATAAAAGGTATTTTTGGAACTTTATGACATCTTTCCTTCATTGTGGATTGTGTGGTTAGATATGAAGGGAGCATTTACTATTTTTCGGAGGATTTTGAATTGGAATCTGGATGCGATGATAGTTGTTATGTTTGGTTGATTCCCAGTTCGACGCTGTATATTCAGATGGGCTTTATTGAACAAGGAAAAATTAAAATTGTTCCCATTATGTGCTAAAAGACAAATAGGTTGAGGATGTCTTAACAAGAAGCTGTGAAGCAAATCACACAATTTTGCATTAAATGTTGACTGCTCCTCAAGTAACTCGTTCAGTTGTTTGTTGTGAAGAGTCAGTTTTGAACGTTTGTCTAGAAATCATGAGAGTGTTTTGTAATGTCTAGTGATGTTAGCCAGTATCGTTAGTAACAATGTAATGTCATATCTTCGTATGACAAAATGAATAATGAATTACAGTAAAAAAAAATTACAAAATTAGATGTAGATAATACCTAGGAGATTTTTTATCAAAATCTAATCGTCTTCTAATTCTTTCTGAAGTCATTGATTCATGGAGTGGTGGAGATTTTCTATTTATCTTCGGTGGGTTTCCCACTGATGCTCGTCTTGTTGGTGTCCCTTTGTATAAACTAGACATAACAGCATCTGTTTCCAATCCTTTGTACTGTTCATATAATGAATGTTCTATGTCATCAAGAAACTAAAAAGCAAATCAGTGTGTAATACATTTACAATTTAACTGTAATTACCACAAAAATTAATCATTTTAAGAAGCATTTCATGATGGAGTGAGTGCAATGTTCAATCCTTTTTTAAAAAAGATAGTTCCTACCCAAAGTAAGTGTTTTCCAACGATCTGGATTTCTACAACCTGATGATGAGCTAAGGGGCTCGAAATCCGGACGTTGTATCATTGTGTGAACATACTAAATTACATAAAAATGTTAATTTTTGATATAAAATGATTTTAGAGTTTTGCTCCTATTTGCTCATATTAACAAGTGCACACTTTTTAAATGTCTTTTTACCTTAATAACATCGGGACCTATGTCATCAGTTTCAGGAGGCCAACAATTTGTGCCGAACTCAAAATTGTGCAGTGTGTACGGTTCCATGACGTCAAGTGGTATGTGCCTTGGAGGTGGCCGCTCGACAATTTTAAGTTCCCTGAATGCATGAAGAGTATCAGCACAAAGAATATCGTCTGGCAGTGGCTATAAAACAATTGACATTATTTCACATTTTAATCAATTGAATTTTCAAATTTATTACCCTTTTTAAAAATTTAGAATGTGATTGAATCAACGGAAAATCAAAATTGTTCCCATTGTGTGCTAAAAGACAAATAGGTTCAGGATGTCTTAACAAGAAACTGTGAAGCAAATCACAAAATTCTACATTAAAAGTTGACTGCTCCTCGAGTAACTCATTGTTCAACCCTGGAAATTGAATAATAAGTATAAGCAATAGCTATTTCATAAATCTAAAAAATAATTAATCTTAATTAAAATTGAATAAAAATAAATATAATAAGTTTAATTTCTGAAAGTGGACTGCCGCTTAGCAAAAATTGATCAGGCCAACTAGATATTCGACTATGATCCTTATCTCTATGATTTATCTAATTCTTCTTGAGGTAATAAATAAATGGGCTTTTACAGCTAAGCCAAGCACTCTATTTGAAAAAATCTGGTCTTCTATAAGTGATTCCATCAACCCAAAACTGTCTGCACCAAGATTCATACATACACACAATGAACAAAATTATTTGAGTGACAGTTCTTAAAGAAAGGAAAGAACACTAAATATACTTTGGTTAGCGTATACAGATGTGAGGTTTTAAGTCAACCTTCTATTCATATATACATTAATTTAAAAAATTCTGTCAACACCTTCAGAAAAAAACCTTTCAAATTAAAATAACAATGGGTAAATTGATTAGCAATATAATGTCTTGCTAAACTTTAATCAGGAACAAAAACCATATAACATGTAACAGTATTCAATACGTGGAAATTAAACAACTTAACTACACAGAGCTATACGTTTCAAGCAAAAAGCCTCTGAACATATTATTTTTCATTTGTTTATTTACTCACACTTATCTAAACTTTATCTCAGTAATCTGTAGGCCCACCCCCTATTTTTTATTACTGCTGACTAACTGTTTTTCATAGAAAGAACTTTTTTTTGTCACATCCAAGGATGTATTCATCTAAGTCCACTCCTGCAAAACCTCTTCTATTGGATGGTTTTTGTTCTTTTTCTTTTTGTAAGCTGCCTTTCATTATGATCCACAAATGCACAATATGGTTTAAATCAGGCGAATGGGGTGGTGCCTAGAGCTATTATATAGTATTCATTCTTGAGTTTTACAAGCCATGTGTTTGTGGTTGTTGTCTTGCTGAAACAGAAAGTCCTTTCTATACCCAATTTAATAGTGTTTTCCTTTAAATCCTGTTTTAGAACATGAAATATAAACATATTGGTCCATGATCCCAACGAATTACCACCCCACGTTTAATCGTCAGTAATGTATTCTTTAATTTCAAGTGTTCCCCTGCCATACATCACACTTTCTTTCTTCCATAAGACCCTGAGGCATTAAATTTGTGAAAATAATATTCTCCTAAAACACATCAAGTTTACTTAAAAGCTCTTTAGCAAACTGGAGGCTCTTCCCCCTGTTCTTCTTGCTTATATAGGGCTTATTTCTGGGATTGCCTCTGTGCATGCCTTGTGTTTTAATAATATTTTTTGTTTGGGGCGGAAGTGAAATATTATAATCCTGATAAGGAATACCTGCAATTTCCCACTTGTTGATGGATTGGTGGATCTTTGAGAATGGCACACTTTTGGATAGTGCTTAATTTTTCTGGCCGGCCTAAACATGGTCCAATTTCATCATTACTGAGCTAGGTTGAGTCTTCTCCCTCAAAAATTACTAGGGAATATGCCAAAGAACTAAGAGTAGGCGCTATGACCATTTCAAGGTATTTAAAAGAAAAACGAAAAAATTGGATAAATGGGTACCACACAAATTGTCTGAACCACAGAACGCAAACATTATGAAATTTGTTCTTCGCTTTTGTTGCGAACTCACAATGAGCCATTTTTGAACCGGGTTCTTTCTTGTGACGAAAAGTGGGTCCTGTATGACAATAAGGCAAGGTCAGCTCAATTGTTGGATAGAGATGAGTCCCCAAAGCAGCTGGTAAAGAAGGCTGCATTAAAAAAAAATATGCTGTCTGTTTGGTGGGGAATGGGTGGTTTGATCCATTTTAATTTTTTAAACCCTGGCGAAACAATCGTATTGCCAAGAGTTAGACATTTTTTATCATAAACTCCAAGAAAAACTTCGAAGTTTGGTCAATAGAAAGAGACCTATACTTCCCCACGACAATGCTCGTCCTTACATTTTAAGATTGACAATGCAAAAACTTCAAGAGCTAAAAATTGAAGTTCTTCCACACCCACCATATTCACCTGACCTATCGCCAACCGACGTCCACCTTTTTTTCTGCTCTGGACCGTTTTCAAAGAAATAAAATTTTTCAAACTGGAGGTGCTCTCAAACCAGCAATCAAATAATTCCTTACATCTCAAACTCCAAACTTATACGAGGACGGGATAAAAAAGCTTACAGCACATCGGGAGAAGTGCATTTCAACTAATGGAGAATATTTTGATTGATTAAAGAGGTATTTATCGTATTGAGTCCAGCTTAATATTACTCCAATTTTTGACATTCCTGACAGTACAACCAGATAGTTTGTGGTATAGTGCTTTCCTTACTGCTAAACCACACGTTGCTTAATTTAAGACATATTTAAACATTGCACAGTCGCAGACGCCGGTCAATTTTACATCGGTATTCCTCAAAAGCTTGCAGCCTAACAAAATAGAAATGTTAAACTTGAATTAACCCATATATATTTAGTAGTAATTGAGTCAAATGGATGTAAGTTGAAATGGGGAGTTGGTGTCTGAGTGGATCGAAGTAGTTCAAATGGTTCAAGCAGCGTATTGACCCTAACGTCGAGGGTTCGAATCCCGCTCATGACACTAACTTTTTCATCTCAACCAAGACTCAGCTATACCTGAGGGCCTAGTTTACCTGAAATAGTTTGCGCACTTCCTGTTATGAACTTGCAAGGGTGAAAACACATCGTGAGCTTGTTGAGGACCCTAGGGACGGCTTCGGAGGGGTTCTCGTCGAAGTGTTTTCTTAAGGCGCTTATCAAAGAGATCTCTGTAATTTTCGTGTTACTGAAATTTTTCGACGGCAAGCCGGTCGTCTCGAGATCGAGGAACACGTAAGTCTCTACCGGAACGTTTGAATTCATGGCAGACAAATGTCTCAAGACTGGTATCAACAGTGACAGAACGTTAAGAACGATCACAAAATTATAAACGGAAATGAAAAAACGTTAAACTAACCGCCGAGTGTTGAGATAAGAGAAAAGATAAAGAAATAGCACGTTCAAATTGTCAAAGCATAAATTTTACAGACGTTGACCAATCGAGAACATAAATCACAGAATAACGCATTTTTCTCTATTGCACAAATTGTAATTTTACAGTTGTGAGAAGATCGTTAAGATCGTTACCTCACGATGACGGTAATTTAAACTATTTAAAGTATGACAGGTTAAACGACTTATCGTTTATCAGTTTATCACTAGTTTTGTTAGAAAGTGAAACCTGTCAAAAGCGTGTATTCTTAACACGTTGCAGTTTGTAATTAACGTCTTTTATAAATGTAAGCTTGATGCCAAGAGTTGTTTATATCCTTTAGTATATATTTTGTCTTAAAAAAAAAAATAATAAGCACAGAATTGTAAATTATTTGAGGTGGGGGGAGTGTGTTAATTCACTTTTTTTTAAAAGATAGTTCTACTCATAGAAGTAGAATTTAGAAATGATGAAGCATGTAGATTTGTGAGTACAACCACATTTTACAAAAGTGAAGTAGAGTTTTATGAGTAGAACTATTCTTTTCCAGAAAGTCAATACAGGTACTGTCACTGTGACAGCAGGTTGTTTTGGACGGGTGTGACACCAACGACGGCAGTACATCTCGCTTGTTTTTATTGTGAGGCAATTAAAGACTTTTCTATTATTCTACTTTGGGGTCACTGGGGTGCCAATGTCTTTCTACCACTGAGACCTAAAAGATCTAGTGTGTAATTGACCCCTTTTTATTTCTAAACTACAATGCACAACCCTTAAAGTAATTTAGAACTTTCCGCGGTTCTTCTTCGCTTATTTCATTAGTAGGAAAATACTATAGTATAGCCTTTCCGAAGAGGCTCTAAGTTTTCGGCGCAAGTGCTTTGCATAGGGCATGTTTCAGCCTCTTCATGACACAGTCAACAGGTTTCTGTCTCAGTTTCCATTTTTTCCCCCCTTCAATGGACTGTTATAGGTAAAAGCATAATAGTGAAATATTTATTAATTTGAAGTTGAAGCGTTGTCCTGACCCTGGTAAAGTCTGTTTGCCGTTTTTTTTCTTTCTCTGATGTCACTATTGATGATGTTTCATTTCCAAACCTCAAACAGTGCACTACTCTTAAATTAGTTTCACAGTTCCTCTTTGCTTATTTCATTCGTAGGAAAATACGTTCGGTATAGCCTTTCCGAAGAGGCTGTACCTTTTTGGGGTTAATGCTTTGCAGCCACACAGGACTCTTTATGATAGAGCAGCAGGTTTCTGTTTTATTGCCAGTTTCTATTTATTTATTTTTAATTATTTTTTATATTTTGGTATTTCCTCCTAAAATGGTCTGTTTGAAAAAAAGCTTAATAATGAAACTTTTTAATTTTACTTAAATTGATCCATATAAGTATTTAATGATCATAATTGACTGTATTAATTAATAACTTTAATTGTTTATACTTTTAATCTATTGTCTTGGTTGAGATGAAAAATTAAGTATCACGAGCAGGATTCGAACCCACAACCTTCAGCACAGATTTGATTGTTGGTTTGAATCCCGCTCGTGATACTTGCTTTTTCATCCAACCAAGGCCTTAGATTAAAAGTATAATTGATTTAAATATTATTTAAAATTGAAGGGTTGTCCTGACCTTTGATAAAGCCCATTCGTCATATATTTTCTTTTCTTTCTCAGGCGTCACTAGTGACCAAAGACTCCCTTTCTTTTACTGCAAGAATATTGTATAATTGACACTTTTTTTCATTTCCAAACCTCGAAAAGTGCATTATCCGTAAATTAGTTTAGCACTTTTCGCGGTTCCTCTTTCCCTATTTCATCAGTAGGAAAATACTATAGTTCAGCGTAGCCTTTCCGAAGAGGCTGTACCTTTTTGGAGTTAATGCTTTGCAGTCACACAGGACTCTTTATGATAGAGCAGCAGGTTTCTGTTTTATTGCCAGTTTCTATTTATTTATTTTTTTAAAATTATTTTTTATATTTTGGTATTTCCTCCTAAAATGGTCTGTTTGAAAAAAAGCTTAATAATGAAACTTTTTAATTTTACTTAAATTGATCCATATAAGTATTTAATGATCATAATTGACTGTATTAATTATTTTAATTAATTATACTTTTAATCTATGGTCTTGGTTGAGATGAAAAAGCAAGTGTCATGAGTGGGTTTCGAACTCACAACCTTCAGCACAGATTTGATTGTTGGTTTGAATCCTGCTCGTGATACTTGCTTTTTCATCCAACCAAGGCCTTAGTTTAAAAGTATAATTAATTTAAATATTATTTAAAATTGAAGTTGAAGTGTTGTTCTAATCCTTGATAAAACCATTCATTATATTTTTTCTTTCTCAGGCGTCACTAGTGACTAAAGACTCCCTTTCTTTTACTGCAAGAATATTGTATAATTGACCCTTTTTTTCATTTCCAAACCTCGAAAAATGCATTACCCTTAAATTAGTTTAGCACTTTTCGTGGTTCCTCTTTCCCTATTTCATCAGTAGGAAAATACTATAGTTCAGTATAGCCTTTCCAAAGAGGCTGTATCTTTTTGGAACTAATTCTTTGCAATCTTATAGGACATGTTCCAGCCTCTTCATGATAAAGTAGCAGGTTTCTGTTTTATTGCCAGTTTCTATTTATTTATTTATTTTTTATATTTTGGTTCTTTCTTGTAGGTCTGTTTGAGAAAAAAGCTTAATAATGAAATGTTTTTTAAAATTTTACTTAAGTTGATCCATATATGCATTTAGTGGTCATAATTGACTGTATTAATTATTTGAATTAATTATACTTTTAATCTATGGTCTTGGTTGAGATGAAAAATCAAGTGTCATGAGTGGGTTTCGAACTCACAACCTTCAGCACAGATTTGATTGTTGGTTTGAATCCCGCTCGTGATACTTGCTTTTTCATTTCGACAAAGACCTTAGATTAAAAGTATAATTAATTTAAATATTATTTAAAATTGAAGTTGAAGCATTGTCCTGACCGTTGATAAAGCCCTTAAATTATTATTTTTTTCTCTGGTGTCTGTAGTGACCAAAGTTTCCCTTTCTTTTACTCCAACCTAAAATATCTATTGTGTAATTGACCCATATTTATTTCCCAACCCCAAAAAGTGCACTTCCCAAGTAGTTTAGCACATTCTGCGGTTCCTCTTTTTGATTTCTTGAGGTGCCAATATTGCCATTCCGAAGAGGCTGTACATCTATGTGTACCTTCATTACAGATTCGGCCTGTTTCTCTCTGTTTTCCCACATTTTTAATGGTAATTGAATGTCTAATAGGCAGTATTAATGTGTTATTTTCCTTAATTATTGACAACTGAGAGAGGAGTAGATTTGTTTTGCTGAGATGTTGGGGAACATCTTTGATTGTATTGCACCTTGTAATCTCATCCAGTGTGATTCACTTATAACTTTGGGGGAATGCAATTTGCAGTTCTGGTCCGAAGGAAGTGAGGGCTGCTCCTTTTTTGTTTTCCCAGAAGGTATAAGTTCAACCTTCAGGTGGAGGAGCCTAAGAGAAGAACCGTACCTTTTAATCCTTTTTTGTTTTTCTTGTGCATATAGTTCTACTGCATGAATCTCAGCTTGGAAAACAGATTGTGTGATACCTGAGGTTTTGCTAGGTAAAAATTTGGGCCTTTGACTACTGTCCCTCTCCATATTCTGTTTCGTCTCCATGCAATGCAAATGTTTAGTCAATGTTATTATTTTTTGTTGTTGCATTATAGTATAAATGTTATATTTAAAACGTTTTTAAAGCTTGTCTTTCATTGTAGTATTTTAGGTTGAGGAAGTGTTGGTTTTTCACTCTGACATATAACTATCATTGCATAGTCAACAATGACCACGAATAATACGGAAGAACAAGAACGGTTGAATAATATTTCAAAAAGGGTTAATAAATTGTTGGAATCAAGAGTGGAAAATGATAAGGTAGCCACCTAGTCGCGTTTCTTTACACCGAGTGTATGATATAACTTCATTTCAGGAAACTCTAATGGCTCTCAAAGAACTTACTACTTATTTCCCAGAAAACACAATTCAATCAAGAAGAAATCTCAGGACCAAAATTGAAAAGAAGAGCCTATGCATTAATGAGGTAAATATGAATATTCTAACATTTTAGCTTGATCGTTTCACATCATTTTTGGTTTGCCAGATGCACATCGACTTTTTGCCATCTTCACTGGTGTAAACTTTCTTTTTCTATTAATAACAAAACTATACTTGAATAATTACACAATTTTTTTATTGAAGGGGTTAAAGGATGGTTTTAACTGAAGCACACTTTTATTACCAATATTTCATTGGTTACATCAGTATCCACATGGCTATAAAGAAAATTAATCACTTAATTAATAATTAATTAATGTACTTTGGCTTTCATTTTATATTCAAAATTCATTTTATATTCAACAAAAAAATATTTCTATTTATGATGCATAGTTTCATTAATTGGTGGTAAATATTTGTTATCTTGCTTTTATTAATTTAATATTAATTAATTACAATTCAACACGTTTTCCAGAACTTTTTAAAAGAATTTCGCAAAGTGAAAGAACATCTGGATAATATTGAGGCAGATGTGAACCAAATGTGTTTAGCTGTCAGTAATATGACACAGCAGCTGAATGCAACAAAGGCGCAGACCCATCAACTTATTGAGCAAACTACAAAATTACAAGCAGAGAAGTAAATAGAAAACGATTTGAGACAATTCACAAATTTATGCTATTATGCTGTTTTCTTAGTGAACAGCTGACAATACAAGAGAAAGTGACAAATGCTTTTATTGCCAAATTCCAACTGACACCGCAAGAGCTTACTGTCCTTAGAGATGGAGAAGTATCAATTGAATTTTTTGCTGCTTTGGACAAAGTTAAAGAAATTAATAACAATTGCTCAACTTTGATGCTAAGAGGTCAACAGACAATTGCACTGGAAATTATACAACAAATGACACTATTTCATGTATTTTTACATTGAATTTAAATTATAAAAGCATTATCATAAAATGATTGATTTTTGTAAATAGGAAAATGCATTAGATAGGCTGTATCGATGGGCTCAGACACATTGTAAAAGTTTAGATCCTGCCACAAGTCAGTTGTTTTCTACTGCCATGTCAAAATTGCAAGACCGGCCAACTTTATTCAAGTAATTTAAAAATGTATTTATTTGGCGACTTGGATTATATCACAGTGTATTTCAGACATGTAATAGCCGCTTATTGCACACATCGGCGATCGGTCTTGGTGCGAGAATTTCTTGATTCATTGACAAAAGGAAGCAAAGGAAAAGCACCCATTGAGATGTTTGCCCATGATCCACATAATTATATCGCATCAATGTTGGCATTTTTGTATGAAACTGTTTCATCAGAAAGTCTTACTGGCCTGTTCAAACAATGTGACAAAATAGGTAAGTGAACTGTGGTCAAATAGCATATAGAAAGATTGTTGACTTATCTGACATTTTTTAAAATCAAGATGTTGCCGAGGAAATGCAGGAAGCCTTATCTAACATATCTGAAGGCGTTTGTACCCCTCTTCGAGTTAGGGTAGAACAAGTCGCCTCAACAGATGACCTACCATTAAAGACACTTTATAGCATCACTAATCTTGTTTGCCATTACAAAGCCCTGCTTGTGCAGGTAATATATATGTTAACAGTTAATCAGGACTCGACACACACACGTTAAATGTTTAGATTTTAGGAGAAAATGGCTTGGTTCGGGGCTTAAAAGAAATTGAGGAATGGTGTGTTGATAAATTGCTATTAAGGCTTGGAAATGTAGTTAAAAAAGAAGTTGTTGAGAGGGTCTCTGTTCCTCCATCTGGGCTGATTCCTTCTCAAGGGATTGAAACTTTACTTTCGCTTTTAAGAGATCTGCTTACTAATCAACACCTGCAGCACATAGACAAGGCAGGTTTGAGTTCTAATTAGTAGCCATGGTGGAGTTAAAATTATTGAGATTTTTATTTTATATTGTATTTTATTATTTTTTACAGATTGTAGCAGCAGTTCTTGATCCTTTGCTTCAAGCAGTTAATGTCAGTGCATCCAGGCTTGATACTGCAGATATGGCTGTTTATTTACTCAATTGTTTGCACTTAATGCAGAATACAGTCACTTTGTATGAATTTATGGATGAACGAGTGGAAAGGCTACAAGTATGGTAGTTGTTTCATTTGTCAGCGATATTGTTTCTTCCACTTGATTCTGTATTCAGGCACAGTGTGATGCTCAAATAGACACTCTGACATCAGAGCAGGCCAGCTCTCTTGTCGCTAACTTGAACCTTGGCCCGATATACACAATATTGCAACACGAGCAAGGAAAAGGAGTACCGCTGTCTCAAATTCCAGGAATGCAGCCTTCATCTTTAAACAATTTTTTTGTACGCAATTTAAATTATTTCATTTATTTTTTGAAGTGGTTTATTTATCTTATTTGCAGGTTAAATTTGAAAGATTCCTTGCTAGTCCGAATCTTCTAGCATTGCCCCAAGTTGAATGCCTTTTAAGCAGTTCCCATAGGGCTCAAGTTTCAAAAAGATCCACTGAAGTCATAATAGCCTTGTATAAACAACTCTACAACTGTTTGCACAACCCTGAAAATGGTTATCAGAACCCAGAAACACTGGTTCCACACACTCCGGATGAAGTGGCTGCTAAGCTAAATCAAAGATTTGGGTCACTCCAGCATTCAGCAGAACAAATTGTGTAAAATCTCATTGGACATTTTAAAGTTTATTTAAAAAAAAGAAAATGCGCTTTTACTATTTATAATTGTAATCACGTATTAACACTTTGACTGCGATAAAGACAAGAAAATTATGTACAGCTTAAAATAACCAGTAGAAATTATGTTGGAGTGAGATTTTATATTGCCTAAATAAATATAAGTTTTAAAATTATATTTTTATAACTTAAAAAACTCGAAGTTTTTCTTGTTTATATAAACCAGAAAAAATAATTATTTCAAATTGTAACTCATTTGTTTTTCTACTCAGTATTTTTTCATTGGAATACTAATTCATTTGTTGTGAGAATAGGCAGATGAAATTACTATTTTAATAAAGACTTTTCTATAAGCTTATGTTATGAATCGAAGATCAATGTATATACTAGAATCTGTTAAGAACAAATAGCTGCCAACTAAACTTCAACAGTAGCCCCTTCCATGGGACATACATCAAAGCATATTCGACAGCTATAGTTATATAGTTGATGCATTTTCGCCTGCAAGTCATCGAACTCATGCTGAACCAGCCAGGTTCACTTACTGGGTCTATCTCCACTCGCAGGTTTATTATTTACTACTATTACTAGTATTATTATTAGTTATTCAAACGCTCGCATGTTTGAGAGGGTGGAGACAGACTCAGTATGTGATGCTGTGCTAGTTCAACATGGGCCATAGTCATATGTTAAAGGAGTTGTACATACATATTAATATTTACTATAAATGGTATGCTTATGAGAAATATTTAAGAAAAAATGTTCTATGGAAAGGTACAATTTAAATTGGTTATGTTGGTATATAAAGTTTACAATAGTATTATAAAGAGAGATTTATATATTTTTTAAAGTTCCTGTTCTGCTTCTTGTGGAGGGTGATTTCTGAACAGTGTTCTCTTCAACATCATCCCATGGCTGCAACTCGCCTGATGCAAAAATTATGTAAAACACATTTGTCACTGACATCACAGCAAATGTGATCCACATTACAATCCTCCACTCTGATATCGAGTTCTGAAAGTGTGTATTACATTAATTTACTGTAAACAATTTTAATATACACACATATATATAACACTGTATACACAGTATATAATATATCGTTCACATTTAACTTACATTTGGTGTTAGCGATCCTATGAGATATGGTACTACTGCTCCTGATAGACTGCCTACTGTGACGACCATAGAAGACACTGTTCCAGCAAAATTTGTTGATAAATCTATAGTATTTACTTTAAGGCTGGGGTAATAAAATCCCATGAAAGCTTGTCCTACTAAAAGACAAACTGTAGCTAATGTAGTATCACAGCCAACATAAACGGAAGAAATAAAACCCAAAGAGGGTAAAAGTGATGCTGAAAACATTTTGATCAATTATTTAGGTATATTTTATTTATTAGATGACATATAATTGAATACCCAGTGTAGTTCCAATTTTACGATTTGCTGTAACCGATATAATGTTGTGGTTGTCAACGTAGTCAGATAAAATACCAGCAAAGATCCCAACAACCCATATTAAAATAAATGTCAATGCGTTCAAAGCGCCATTCTGTAACATTTTTTGTTAATTTATTCAGAAAAATCACTTTTTGATCATTTTTTTATTAGATAATTACATTTTTAATGCTAAAATGAAGCACTGTTTTAAAAAATTTTGGAAGGTCAGTTATCATGGCAAACAGGCCAAAGTCGTGCCCAATCATTGCAATTGCTGCAGCCCAAACCGGCAAACTTTTTAGAATAGATTTCCACGGTGTTTTTTTAGGCGGCTAAAAGAGCTTATTAATAAATCAGTAGTTACTAAAAATTACTAAACTCAATTTATTAAAATAAAAAAATAAGAATAAATTTTGTTAGAAAATATCTTTGTCCTATGAAAATATCAGTTATCTATTTATTATAATCATGATGTATAAAATGGCTGGCAAACCTTGATCGTAGCCTCAGATTCTGACTTTACTTTTGTTTTTAATATATTTTTTTCATATTGACTCAAGAATGGATGATCAGCTGGGGTGTCATAAGTCGTGAAAAAGAAACAAAGTGACCAGACCACACCAATGACTCCATAAATAACGAATAAAAGATCCCATCTATGTTGTGTGTAGTATAGGAAAACACCACTGAATAGCATATTTAATGCATTCCCAATATGTACACCTTAAAATATATGAGCATTAACATAATATGTAGACATAGGCTATCAGTTGATTGTATATAGATTTATTTTTAAAATCATTAAGTTAAATTAACCTGAAAAAATAAATGTTCCCAAAGTTCCTCTTTCCTCTTTCGGGATCCATTGGCCGACAACTGTGTGCGTAGAGGCATAAAAGAGACCCTTAAAAATTTTTTAAATAAATAAGAACTGCTTGTTTTAAAAGTAAGCTTATATAACATACTTGTGACAATCCAACAAATATCCGTACTGCTACCAATCCCAACCAGCCAAACATTTTGGCAGCGTACGGGGAAAGTATAGAGAATACGCCGGTGAAGAAAGCACCAAGAGTAACAATTTTCCTCCCTCCAAATTTATCTGCAGCAACTCCACCTGGTATGTGCCCAAAAACATAGCCCCAAAAGAACGCACTATTTACAACTCCTTGCTGACTCCCTGTCCAGTTAAATTCAGTCTCCTATACAACAGTATATTTCCCATAAAATAAAAGTTCTTAAAGCGTAATCAGGGGGAAAATGTACAGATGCGTTACTTTCATTGTAGCTTTGGTATAATAATCGTGTGGCAAAGGGCATGTTTTATTGTCCTCTTTTGACAATGGCATAGACGTCATTTCTGTGATGGCTATTGACAGGCAAAATCTCATGGCATAGCTTATCACCATTCCAAAGAAGCAGTGAAAAGCCACTATGTGCCTTCGCCCAAATTTAACTGAAAAAAAATTAATTAGTTTTATTATTTTAAAATCCATTTCAGATGTATCATTTTTGAGATGCTTAGCTTACCTCTATTGAAACTAACAAATTTATTTTATTCACAGTTTAGTTTAACATTTCATATTAAATTGCAATGGTATTCCTTAATTGCAGAGGGTTGTTCAAATTTAAACAAACAAAAGTTTTATTTATTATATTCAAGGTAAATGATAAACAAAAAGTAAACACCACACTTTTTATAATATAATTGTAGGAAAATGTGTAAATACAATCAGTTTTTGAGGGGTTTCATGATAGGGATAATTTAATCTCTCGCAAAACACCCGCTGCTTATTTACCACTGTATTCTATTTATTTATTTTTTTAAATTATAATGCCCATTTTATTTTGAAATGTTTTGTATATACGTTCAGAAAAAAAACACTCGTATTTTTTTTCAAACTATAAGTATCCATTTTACCGTAATATTAACTACAACATATTATTTTAATGCAAACCAAATTAAACGAGATCAGAAATTCATAATTTTTAATAAAAATTATTTAATTATGATGGTTTGAAAGAAAAAATTATTTAGTGATAGATTCAATTTAATTAACAATTTATTATCTGGTTTTACTCTTAATGCGTTATTAAGTGCAAAACCAGGTAATAAATTGTCAGTTAAATTTTAATCTACCACTAAACGATTTTTCAGTGTCTTGGTGAATTTTCTTTCAAATCATCATAATTAAATATCATTTTTATTAGAACTCATAAATTTAAATTGGTTTACATTAAAATGGTAATTAATCTAACGATAAAAATACGTATAATTAGAAAGAAACAATAAAATACGAGTGTCCGGTTTTTGTCTTTGAGGGTATATATTAATTTTCCCTGTTTTTACAGCTGGTGCAGCTGAAATTTGTTAGTAGTACACTTATGAACTGCATACTTACGGTGGTTGGTTGTTTTCCACACACCCATTTTGTGAAAAGTGGCGGACGAAGTAGGTCCTACTTAGCCAGGTAAATTTTTAGAAAGGAAGTCATGAAAGTATTGTACCGTTAGGTAGTTTGGGGTATGGTCCTAGAAATTGCTATTTCTCCGTAAACGCGCCCATACCAAAATGTTAATTACTATTACACTTCTTCGTCAAATCCTTTTCGTCTTGGGATTGGTGTGTTTTAAACGGTTCGACTGTTTTGGTTTGATATACGGCGTCTTGATTATTTATAATTGTTCCCATGGGAAATGTCTATATTTTGACGTTAAAAAAAAAAAAATTTAAAAACTCGCGGGTCTCAAAATAAACATTTGTTTTGTTAAAATCCCTGCCTCATTTTTCCCAATTTAAATTGTCCATGATATTTCAGAAAAATAGGTGTTTGTAGAGCTGTTCTGCTTGGAAATGAGTTTTGTGATATAAGATGGCAGAACCGCTTAAATTGTATTTAATGGCAATAAAGGATGTCACGATCATTCTATAAAATTGCCTTGAATTTCATCTTAATACCTATTGTGCTGATCAATGCATTTCAATGCAAACTATCGTGGCTGTTCTTCCTACAAGGAGCTACAACTCTTGAAGAGAGGACCATCCTTTGCAAGAAGAGAGACAGGACATCTCCTTCTCCCTTCAACGATGTAACTTCACTTCTTTCTAATTTTCTTAGCGATTTTAAGTCACTTATCACACCTCTTCTAACACTCCTCAAGTGTAGTGAATCAGATCCTTCCGAAACTTTCCGGCTAATCATGTCTTCACAATCATTACTCATTCTTCTTTGGAATGCCAATGGTTTGAGCTCCCACAAAGACGAACTAGACATAGTGCTACATGACAAACGAATAGAAATAGCACTANTGATGTAGGTTTCAGAAAAACATTTTCTTTATCGTGCCAACGTTTCGATCTTTATTGAGATCATCTTCAGGGCCTGGGATTTACAAACATTGTTTAAATTTAACAAATATATGTAGGATGTGGAAAAAATTGAATTTATACAATGCAAAAAAATATATTTATATTCAATCAAAGTATTTCTATTCACTCAAAGTGTTTGTTTTCTGCGTAATTGTGCCATTCTTGCGTGTCGTGTTGAGAGGTACCTCCACAAGCAATGTCCATGGGATGGTCAGTCCTGTAAGTCTTGAAATTTCATATGTAAAAATTAGATCGTGATGTAAAGTGTGTCTCCGTAACCCGTACTATGTCTATTCTTTTTTCTTGTAGAAGTATTTCTAGTTCGTTGAAGCGGGAGTTCAAGCCGTTTGCATTCCATAAGAGAAGAGTTAGAGGGTGATGAGATGGCATTAAGGGTGTGTTCGCGAAACGGGTGAGACAAGCTTCTCAACGACGGTTGTAAGAAGAGAGATGAGAGGGCTGATGAGAGAGCGGAATTCGTTGATAAATGTGGACATCATTGAAGTTAGGGCTGAAGAAGTGGGAGGAGGAGAGATGAATGAAGGAATAGGGTTTGGCTGTGGTTGTGACTGAGATGGTCCTTGGACGTCTTGGGCGTAGCTAACGCTGGTTCGACGAGCGTAATCAGATCTTACTTGCTGTGGTGGTGGTGGAGGAGTTCTAGACAGGCGTCTTGATTCTGAGGAATTCTGTCTTCTTAGCCATTGTAAATCTTTGTGTGTGATGCATCCTCTGTAGTTGGCAGGATGATTACCATTACAAAGCGAACAAACAGCTGGAGTTTCTTTTGATTTTGTACAATGTTCGCTCCAATGATATCCTGCGCATTTCACGCACCGTGGTGCATGGTTGCAATTTGATCTGGTGTGTCCGTAATTTTGACAGCGCTTACATTGCGAAATTTTCTTATTTTTGAACGGTTACGACAACCAGAGATGGGTAATCATAAATATATCCTGATTATTTGGTAAAGGTTCGAGGTCCAAAAAGAAAAGCGGCAGTTTGATTTTTGCTGCAGATTGGATGTTGGTTACATTTCGGACTTTGAAACCGAGTTCTTCTACTTCTTTTTCTATTTCATCTGGCGGGATGGAGAGATGAAGGTTTCTTAACACAACTCTAAATGCTCGTTCCTCTTTTAATTGATAGGTGTAGAAGTCGCACTTTTGTGCTTTAAATATGTGTATTAGTTTCCTATAATCGTCGGAACTTTTCACGCGAACAATGGTGCAGTCAGTTCTTGCCTGACACTGGAAATAATTTTCCCCAAGAACTTTAAGGTAAAGTTAACTATGTTTCGGACGAAGATCGGGGGAGGCTGTTTGGTCTAGTAATACTGTGTATTAGGTGCTCTCTCAAATTTAGACGATTCAGCCAGAAATCAGATATATTTCAGGCCTCTCGTCGCCGATAGCGGCTGAAGATTGCTCTCCCGGTCAATTTGAGCTCTCAAGCATAATATTTGATTCAGGTGAGCTCCTTTTATATTATATTCATTGCCGGCTCCTCAAGCACTGAAAACAATTAGTCGCAGAATTAAAAACCCAAAAAGTGTTTGCGCTGGGGGAAAAAAAATGTCTCCAAGCAAAAGACCTGGTACTACAAAGAATCTTCCTGCCTCCTCTAAAAAACGAAATGTTGGTAATCATCTAGAAGAAATAACAGACCAATCTGAAATTAGATCACGACCTGCGAGACATGAAAATTCAAAAATGGAGACAATTAGCCTATCATTGTCAGCTGTTAACAGTGATCTGGCAAATGTAAATAGAATAGCTTCTACCTCAGCCTCCCATCATGTACTATCTACAACACATACTCCTAATTTTATATCACCAAATAAATTTGGAGTTCTCGCTGTAGATGACGACGACGAAATTGAAATTGTCAAACCAAATGTAATCCTCGTCTGCCTTTAAGTTCCTTTGGAACAAATCGGCTAAAAAAAAATAAATAAATAAACAGTTTGTTTAAATATTACAAATTAATCCATTTATAGAAGTCAGTCAGCTCAAGTGGTTAGAGCAGCAGCGTATTGAGCCGAAATGAGTTCGAATCCCATCGTGACACTGACCTATTCATTTCAACCAAGACCTTAGATAAAAAGAATAATTTAAATTATAAATTAAGTTATTGTAAGATGTCTTTATAAGGTCTGAGGGGTGATGAACTTGCAGTTCTCGACAAACAAGAATACCAGCAAGGGTATACAGACCAGGATCATGGGAAACGACCAAACTATAATTTTATCTAATTATTAAACTTTTTTTATTACACGTCTTAACGAACTTTTCGTCACCTCGTAAAGTTGCAATGGCAACTGGCTTGTCCATTTGCATGTTAGCTCGTTTGGGTTTCGAATTTTTCCATTTTTCTTGATCTATGTGCGGTGGCGAAGCATAAATTGGGAAAGCACAAGATGGGAGGGTAACATATCGGATCCGTTCTTTAGGAGAATTTCCTCTCATTATTTCTATGAAAATTATTTGCTTCAAAATGTTTCCATTGTCAAGCGGAGAATTATAGTGCAATTAAGACGTTCGGGTATCGCTGCAATTCGATTATTTTTTTTACAGGCATGCCTACTCAATTGATCGCACGCACAATTATACACAATTCCAAGGTGAACGAAATTTTGATAGGCAATCTGTGAGTATCCAATATATTCGTCGTTAAGAAAAATAAAATTTAATAAACCTGGTTAAGAATGCACCTTCATCGCTCGGTAGTGACGTGAAAAACTAAAATACTTATTTATTTAGAAATCGTGAGATGCGGTCTGGTGTGATGTAGGTTTCAGAAAAACATTTTCTTTATCGTGCCAACGTTTCGATCTTTATTGAGATCATCTTCAGGGCCTGGGATTTACAAACATTGTTTAAATTTAACAAATATATGTAGGATGTGGAAAAAATTGAATTTATACAATGCAAAAAAATATATTTTTTAAATTATATTCAATCAAAGTATTACTACTCACTCAAAGTGTTTGTATTCTGTGTAATTGTGCCATTCTTGCGTGTCGTGTTGAGAGCATCCTTGAATGGCACAATTACACAGAAGAAAAACACTTTTGAGTCAGTAGAAGTATTTTGATTGAATATAAAAAATATATTTTGCATTGTATAAATTCACTTTTTTCCACATCCTACATGTATTTGTTAAATGAAAACAATGTTTATAAATCCCAGGCCCTGAAGATGATCTCAATAAAAATCGAAACGTTCGCACGATAAAGAAAATGTTTTTCTGAAACATCACACCAGACCGCAGCTCACGATTTCTAAATAAATATCGATTAACGGTCACTAATCACCACACATTACTAAAATACTTATTTTATTTTTCACTGATGGACAAATTTAACGCACCACTCAATTTATTTAGTTTAAAATTAAATCCACTATCTTTCCACATTAATTGCAGGTAATTAAAAGCCATCTTAGTCAAAATAAACTGGTAAATAATGCTTTCTTTCCTTTGATTAGTTTTGTATTTATTAATCTCATTTGCATAAAAAGTAGCATTATGGCCCTGCCATACAGCTACGCCTAAAGATCGCTTTCATTTAATCTATTTTCTTCGTTGATTTAATTTGATATTACTCTTATATTTTATTTATTATTTATTTTATTTATTATATTTTACTATGTTAATAAACTAAATTTATTTTTAATATATGAACATGTTTAGGGGCTTAAAGCCCTATTTGTACCTTTAAAATAAATAAATTTATTTGGCGATAAAACGACGTTTTTATAAACCGAATTATATCCTTAACCTCAATTTTTATCATTTTCGAAATAATTTTTAACGAGTTAATGTCTTATTTAAATTATGCTTTACCTTAATTGTTACTCTCGATAATTAAAATAAAGAAAGGCTAATCTATGACAATGTACAGGGAAAAACCTTTACGACCAAACAAGGGAATAGATTCGACAGAACAATAAGGCAATAGACTCGAATAAAATAAATTTAAAACATTCAGCTTAGAATATAAAACAAACGTTTTCAACTCCAGTTTCTGACATGATTAAACAACAATTGGCGGTTTACTTAAGCAGCTATGTAATTTGTTTCCTCGTAAAAGTTACTCAAAAAAATTTATACATCTCTTCAAAATGAATGATTTTTATTTTAAGAAAATCGGCACAAGTTCACAGTAATCAAAAATCAATCGTCTCGTGGCGTGTTGCCAGTCCAACGTTTGAATTCATTTAGGGTTTTGTTGTCCTTGTTTTGCACTTTCTTGTCCTCAATGTGGTCGTCTTGTCCAAGTCGGGGAAATAGACTTCTGGCGAATCATCTCTGAGCACGGGGTATATAAGCAAGACGCAAAAAATGAAGGTAAGTAGTAGGATGACATCTACACAGAACACAACAAAAAGAAAATCGCTTAAGAAATTATATTTTTAAAAAATCTCATCCTTACAACTTGCGATAGGTTACAGGGCAGATGGATTTATATATTTTTTAAAATTATTTTTATCCCGATTCTATCGATTGTAACGGCCCGAGAGAGCTGAGTCTTGGACTGAGTTTTAAAGGAATTTTAAAATGCATTCAAGGAAGAAAGACCGAACGCTTACAGAAACGACCGATAACAAATTAATTATTAAATGTTTACCTTTTTAAATTTTACCGAAAATGAAATTGAATGTCGTCTATTGTTCAAAGTATTCATCTTGTCAAATGTGATTTTAAAGAAATACCCAGAGCGGAAAAACTTTTTTTTGTAACGTCATTGTTTATTGCTGTCATAACGATACTTATACTTATGATTAATATGCATTAAAAATGATATTATTACTCGCTTTATGGATAATTGTTTACATAATTATACACAAATAGTGAAATATATCCGGTATAATTATTGTACATATTGATTATTATTTTTTCTTTTATTTGGGTTAAGTGGCTATGGA